GGTGCCAGCTTTTAAATGTCCATCATTCTCAACCAACAAGATCAGAAACTGCATATGTATTCTCCCCAGCTCTCAGGCTCGCATATGCAGTGGTTGGTTGATTATTAGGAATACAATAACACACACACATTCCCTCAGCTAGATTCACACAAGCAGACCAGGCATACTGTTCATCAGACCAGCTACTATGTTCTCTACTGGGACATTGCATACATTCAGTCTGAAGTAGAAGTACAGATTACTATGCCCTCTACAGGGACATTTTTATATATAAAATAAAGGGAACACTTAAACAACACAATGTAACTCCAAGTCAATCACACTTCTGTGAAATCAAACTGTCCACTTAGGAAGCAACACTGATTGACAATAAATGTCACATGCTGTTGTGCAAATGGAATAGGCAACAGGTGGAAATTATAGGCAATTAGCAAGACACCCCCAATAAAGAAGTGGTTATGCAGGTGGTGACCACAGACCACTTCTCAGTTCCTATGCTTCCTGGCTGATGTTTTGGTCACTTTTGAATGCTGGCGGTGCTTTCACTCTAGTGGTAGCATGAGACTGAGTCTACAACCCACACAAGTGGCTCAGGTAGTGCAGCTCATCCAGGATGGCACATCAATGCGAGCTGTGGCAAGAAGGTTTGCTGTGTCTGTCAGCGTAGTGTCCAGAGCATAGAGGCGCTACCAGGAGACAGGCCAGTACATCAGGAGACGTGGAGGAGGCCGTAGGAGGGCAACAACCCAGCAGCAGGACCGCTACCTCCGCCTTTGTGCAAGGAGGAGCAGGAGGAGCACTGCCAGAGCCCTGCAAAATGACCTCCAGCAGGCCACAAATGTGCATGTGTCTGCTCAAACGGTCAGAAACAGACTCCATGAGGGTGGTATGAGGGCCCGACATCCACAGGTGGGGGTTGTGCTTACAGCCCAACACCGTGCAGGACGTTTGGCATTTGCCAGAGAACACCAAGATTGGCAAATTCGCCACTGGCGCCCTGTGCTCTTCACAGATGAAAGCAGGTTCACACTGAGCACGTGACAGAGTCTGGAGACGCCGTGGAGAACGTTCTGCTGCCTGCAACATCCTCCAGCATGACCGGTTTGGCAGGGGTCAGTCATGGTGTGGGGTGGCATTTATTTTGGGGGCCGCACAGCCCTCCATGTGCTCGCCAGAGGTAGCCTGACTGCCATTAGGTACCGAGATGAGATCCTCAGACCCCTTGTGAGACCATATGCTGGTGCGGTTGGCCCTGGGTTCCTCCTAATGCAAGACAATGCTAGACCTCAGCAGTTCCTGCAAGAGGAAGGCATTGATGCTATGGACTGGCCCGCCCGTTCCCCAGACCTGAATCCAATTGAGCACATCTGGGACATCATGTCTTGCTCCATCCACCAACGCCACGTTGCACCACAGACTGTCCAGTAGTTGGCGGATGCTTTAGTCCAGGTCTGGGAGGAGATCCCTCAGGAGACCATCCGCCACCTCATCAGGAGCATGCCCAGGCGTTGTAGGGAGTCCCTACACCCAAACGAGGGCATTGCGTTCATTCACCTCTGGCCTGATGGCTCCCCTACCTCTGCGGAAGCACAGTTCCCGCTCAGCCCAGTCAAAACTGTTCGCTGCTCTGGCACCCCAATGGTGGAACAAGCTCCCTCACGACGCCAGGACAGCGGAGTCACTCACCACCTTCCGGAGACATTTGAAACCCTACCTCTTTAAGGAATACCTGGGATAGGATAAAGTAATCCCTCTTACTCCACCCAAAAAAAAAAAAAAAAAAACATTGTAAAGTGGTTATCCCACTGGCTATAAGGTGAATGCACCAATTTGTAAGTCGCTCTGGATAAGAGCGTCTGCTAAATGACGTAAATGTAAATGTATACAGGCACGTGGAGGCCACACACACTACTGAGCCTCATTTTGACTTGTTTTAAGGACATTACATCAAAGTTGGATCAGCCTGTAGTGTGGTTTTCCACTTTAATTTTGAGGGTGACTCCAAATCCAGACCTCCATGGGTTGATAAATTTGATTTCCATTGATCATTTTTGTGTGATTTTGTTGTCAGCACATTCAACTATGTAAAGAAAAAAGTATTTAATAAGATTATTTCATTCATTCAGATCTAGGATGTGTTGTTTAAGTGTTCCCTTTATTTTTTTTTGAAAACCACGATGCTGACGTTGCAAGTGCCATGTTCTACCAACTGAGCCACACAGGAAAACATGTATTACATTAGGATTCTCAGGGGAACAAAAACTTAGTCTCACCACCACAATTATCAAAGTGTTACTTTCTGTTCATCTGGAGATGGATGAAGCACATTAAGTAAATTCCACTTCAGTATCAGTCTTGTAGATCAGAGATGTGAATGTTTTCCTCTAATCCCCTGAAAGCTGATGTTAGGGAGTTGAGTCATACAGGGAGGTAGCTCTCTGGAAGTTTACTTGTTTCTTATCAACCACACTACAGTACCATTTCTAGTATTGTGAGTCATTGGCTGTTAATTATTCAAGTACATTTCTAATGATGTGATTCAAGTATGGCTCTGTTGGTAGATCATGGCACTTGCAACATCAGGATTGTGGGTTCGATTCCCACGGGGGACCAGTACGAAAAATGTATGCTCTCACTACTGTAAGTCGCTCTGGAGAAGAGTGTCTGCTAAATTACTAGGATAAAATGGTGAGACAGAGAGGAAGAGAGACGGATGGAGAGAGAAATGGGAATGTATGAGGTGAAAAAAATAAGCGATGGAGAGAGAATGACAGATAGTAAAGGAGCGAGAAATGGAAAGAGGTGGAGAGCGAGAGTGGAAGCAAGGGAGGGATAGAGAGTTTTTAATTTATTTATTGTCTATTTTACTTGCTTTGTAAATGTAAACATACGTTCCCATGCCAATAAAGCCCATTTGAATTGAATTGAATTGAATTTAATTGAGAGGGAGAGGGAAACTTGGCCTCACTCCATGAGAGCTGTGTTCAGGAACCACAAGACGTCTGTGGTCCCTCAGAGAGAGAGCGAGATAGCAAAACAACATACATGATGGGAAAGGTGACTCCTCCAGAGAATGTGTCCTGTTAAAGGTGGACTTACTGTGTCTGATTATGATCCGGATTTTCTCTATCGGTCACACTCTCTCTCTCTACCAATCTGTATAAACAGTAGGGGTTTTTCTTGCTTTATTACCTGAGTAATGATCAAAATAGCTTTAATAGCTTCACAGATGGTCTCAGTTCAACTCCCTTTACCTGCTATTTTACCCATTAACTCACAAGTGTGATTGTCATCTATTTGTTGTTTTTATTTTTCTCCTGTCAGGTCATTTGCATTCTCTCTTTCTTTCTCTCTCTCTCTGCCTGTCTTAACTGGCAGCCATCCCATGGTTCTTTGAGAGAGGTCGTATTAACGCTCCTCTTCCGTCGCCATCACAACAGACTCCCACTCCCAGCATGCCTAGCAAAGCTCCTGTTATCAGTCACCTTGATACCCATCGTCCCGGTAAGGGGCACTCGGGCGTGATTGTGGAATTCCGCAAGTCTGGATGAGTGATTCAGAGAAGCCTGGGTCCGCCAGTAGCAAAGCAGGACAGAGAGGAGCCGGAAGGGGGTGATCTGATTTGGCTCCCTATAGTATTCCCCTGAAGTGGGCGGTCTCAGTGGGTGGGATTTATCCTCAAGGCGAGCAGTGAAAGAGGGGTGCATCTCAAAAGTCCAAAGTGATTTCCTTAGTCTTACAGTATACACCTTAAAAGTCAGTGAAGTTGCACGATACATGGTGCACAAGCACAACAATATGGTCGCCATTGGTTTCAGACTTGGCTCGGAGAAGAGATTTGGAGAGATAAAAAGAAGCACAATGAGAGGAAAGTGTTGTGTATGTCTGTACATATACCTTAGGGAAGACAGTGTTGTGTATGTCTGTACAGATACCTTAGGGAAGACAGTGTTGGGTATGTCTGTACAGATAGCTTAGGGAAGACAGTGTTGGGTATGTCTGTACAGATACCTTAGGGAAGACAGTGTTGTGTATGTCTGTACAGATAGCTTAGGGAAGACAGTGTTGTGTATGTCTGTACAGATACCTTAGGGAAGACAGTGTTGTGTATGTCTGTACAGATAGCTTAGGGAAGACAGTGTTGGGTATGTCTGTACAGATAGCTTAGGATAGACAGTGTTGGGTATGTCTGTACAGATACCTTAGGGAAGACAGTGTTGTGTATGTCTGTACAGATAGCTTAGGGAAGACAGTGTTGGGTATGTCTGTACAGATAGCTTAGGGAAGACAGTGTTGGGTATGTCTGTACAGATATCTTAGGGAAGACAGTGTTGGTTATGTCTGTACAGATACCTTAGGGAAGACAGTGTTGTGTATGTCTGTACAGATAGCTTAGGGAAGACCGTGTTGGGTATGTCTATACAGATACCTTAGGGAAGACAGTGTTGTGTATGTCTGTACAGATAGCTTAGGGAAGACAGTGTTGGGTATGTCTGTACAGATATCTTAGGGAAGACAGTGTTGGTTATGTCTGTACAGATACCTTAGGGAAGACAGTGTTGTGTATGTCTGTACAGAGAGCTTAGGGAAGACAGTGTTGTGAATGTCTGTACAGATACCTTAGGGAAGACAGTGTTGTGTATGTCTGTACAGATAGCTTAGGGAAGACAGTGTTGTCTTTTGTCCTGGAGAAGCCTTTGATTTTCAGTTATTCTTCCGGATGCTCTTGGACTAATTCCCAATCTAGTAAAAGTGTCGGAGCGCACACAAATCCCTCCGCTGCCTCTGCAGTAAAAGCCGGCACAGACCATTAACAGTAAAACAGTGACACACTTGCGTTGGGCAGGAGAAACAGGGGGATCCCCCCCCCCATATCTATCCTTATTACTGTTCCGGTTTTATCGCCTTTAACACTGTGCTGAGTTGACAGGAGAGATAGGGGAATGGGGCTGAAGAATGAGAGAGAAAAAGAGGGATAGAGAGTGAGAGGGAGAGAAATGATGGAGAGGAGAAAGAGAGAAGGGGAGGGAAAGAAGGGAGATTGTGTGGGGAAAATAAGGATGACAGAGTGATAGAGGGAGAGGGAATGATTGAGAGGTGGAGGCAGGGAGATAGAGCAAGAGGGAGTGAGGGAAGATTAAGAGAAGGAATATCAGGCTTCACAGGCCAGTTGGCACAGAGGGAATATGATCAAAACCCCAGGACTCTGCTGACTTCTAAAACCTCCCTCCATAATCCCACCACTCAGAGAGAGACAGAGAGAAAAGAACAAAGGACACAGTGAAGGCAGAGAGCAATAGCCAAAGAAAGAATATGTGGTTGCTTAGTAGAAAGAGAGAGAGAGTGAAAGAGACTGAAAAAGTAGAGCAATAAAGAGAAAGAAAAGCAAGAAGCAGAGTATTGCTTCAGCTGCGAGAGAAATGGAGAGGCTAGAAAGATTGGGAGAAAAGGGGAGAAGCGAGGGAGAGAGGACAGAGGGAGAAAGATGGCAAATTAGGGAGGGAGGGAGGGGTGGGTGGGAGCGAGTGGTTAGCTGTATGTCCTGAAGAGCTGTCATATACAGTGGGGGAAAAAAGTATTTAGTCAGCCACCAATTGTGCAAGTTCTCCCACGTAAAAAGATGAGAGAGGCCTGTAATTTTCATCATAGGTACACGTCAACTATGACAGACAAAATGAGAAAAGAAAATCCAGAAAATCACATTGTAGGATTTGTAATGAATTTATTTGCAAATGATGGTGGAAAATAAGTATTTGGTCAATAACAAAAGTTTCTCAATACTTTGTTATATACCCTTTGTTGGCAATGACACAGGTCAAACTTTTTCTGTAAGTTTGGAGTGTGACTGTTTGAGGTTGTGGACAGGTGTCTTTTAAACTGATAACAAGTTCAAACAGGTGCCATTAATACAGGTAACGAGTGGAGGACAGAGGAGCCTCTTAAAGAATAAGTTACAGGTCTGTGAGAGCCAGAAATCTTGCTTGTTTGTAGGTGACCAAATACTTATTTTCCACCATAATTTGCAAATAAATTCATTAAAAATCCTACAATGTGATTTTCTGGAAAAAAAATTTCTCAATTTGTCTGTCAAAGTTGACGTGTACATATTATGAAAATTACAGGCCTCTCATCTTTTTAAGTGGGAGAACTTGCACAATTGGTGGCTGACTAAATACTTTTTTCCCCCACTGTATAGCAGCACATTGATGACGTCAGAGTGATCAACATGAAGAAAGAGAGAGAAGAGAGTGATAAGACAGAAGGACAAGGTCAGACTGAGAAAGAGAGGTGAGGAGGAGAGAGAAGAAGATGGAGAAATAAAAAATGAGGGATAGAGAAAAGGGTGGAGAAAGAGAATGTACAGTTGAAGTCGGAAGTTTACATACACTTAGGTTGGAGTCATTAAAACTCCACAAATTTCATGTTAACAAACTATAGTTTTGGCAAGTCGGTTAGGACATCTATGTTGTGCATGACACAAGTAATTTTTCCAACAATTGTTTACAGACAGATTATTTCACTTATAATTCACTGTATCACAATTCCAGTGGGTCAGAAGTTTACATACACTAAGTTGACTGTGCCTTTAAACAGCTTGGAAAATTCCAGTCAATTTGAGTCAATTGGAGGTGTACCTATGGATGTATTTCTCAGTGCCTCTTTGCTTGACATCATGTGAAAATCAAAAGAAATCAGCCAAGACCTCAGAAAAACAATTGTAGACCTCCACAAGTCTGGTTCATCCTTGGGAGCAATTTCCAAACGCTTGAAGGTACCACGTTCATCTGTACAAACAATAGTATGCAAGTATAAACACCATGGGACCACGCAGCCGTCATACCGCTCAGGAAGGAGACGCGTTCTGTCTCCTTGAGATTAAGATACTTTGGTGCGAAAAGTGCAAATCAATCCCAGAACAACAGCAAAGGACCTTGTGAAGATGCTGGAGGAAACAGGTACAAAAGTATCTATATCCACAGCAAAATGAGTCCTATATCGACATAACCTGAAAGGCCGCTCAGCAAGGAAGAAGCCACTGCTCCAAAACCGCCATAAAAAAGCCAGACTACGGTTTGCAACTGCACATGGGGACAAAGATCGTACTTTTTGGAGAAATGTCCTCTGGTCTGATGAAACAAAAATAGAACAGTTTGGCCATAATGACCATCGTTATGTTTGGAGGAAAAAGGGGGTGGCTTGCAAGCCGAAGAACACCATCCCAACCGTGAAGCACTGGGGTGGCAGCATCATGCTGTGGGGGTGCTTTGCTGCAGGAGGGACTGGTGCACTTCACAAAATAGATGGCATCATGACGAAGGAAAATTATGTGGGTATATTGAAGCAACATCTCAAGACATCAGTCAGGAAGTTAAAGCTTGGTCGCAAATGGGTCTTCCAAATGGACAATGACCCCAAGCATACTTCCAAAGTTGTGGCAAAATGGCTTAAGGACAACAAAGTCAAGGTATTGCAGTGGCCATCACAAAGCCCTGACCTCAATCCTATAGAAAATGTGTGGGCAGAACTGAAAAAGCGTGTGTGAGCAAGGAGGCCTACAAACCTGACTCAGTTACACCAGATCTGTCAGGAGGAATGGGCCACAATTCACCCAACTTATTGTGGGAAGCTTGTGGAAGGCTACCTGAAACGTTTGACCCAAGTTAAACAATTTAAAGGCAATGCTACCAAATGCTAATTGAGTGTACAGTGGGGGAAAAAAGTATTTAGTCAGCCACCAATTGTGCAAGTTCTCCCACGTAAAAAGATGAGAGAGGCCTGTAATTTTCATCATAGGTACACGTCAACTATGACAGACAAATTGAGAAAAAAATATCAAGAAAATCACATTGTAGGTTTTTTAATGAATTTATTTGCAAATTATGGTGGAAAATAACTATTTGGTCACCTACAAACAAGCAAGATTTCTGGCTCTCACAGACCTGTAACTTATTCTTTAAGAGGCTCCTCTGTCCTCCACTCGTTACCTGTATTAATGGCACCTGTTTGAACTTGTTATCAGTTTAAAAGACACCTGTCCACAACCTCAAACAGTCACACTCCAAACTTACAGAAAAAGTTTGACCTGTGTCATTGCCAACAAAGGGTATATAACAAAGTATTGAGAAACTTTTGTTATTGACCAAATACTTATTTTCCACCATAATTTGCAAATAAATTCATAAAAAATCCTACAATGTGATTTTCTGGAATTTTTTTTCTCATTTTGTCTGTCATAGTTGACATGTACCTATGATGAAAATTACAGGCCTTCTCATCTTTTTAAGTGGGAGAACTTGCACAATTGGTGGCTGACTAAATACTTTTTTTCCCCACTGTACACTCAATTAGCATTTGGTAGCATTGCCTTTAAATTGTTTAACTTGGGTCAAACGTTTCAGGTAGCCTTCCACAAGCTTCCCACAATAAGTTGGGTGAATTGTGGCCCATTCCTCCTGACAGATCTGGTGTAACTGAGTCAGGTTTGTAGGCCTCCTTGCTCACACACGCTTTTTCAGTTCTGCCCACACATTTTCTATAGGATTGAGGTCAGGGCTTTGTGATGGCCACTGCAATACCTTGACTTTGTTGTCCTTAAGCCATTTTGCCACAACTTTGGAAGTATGCTTGGGGTCATTGTCCATTTGGAAGACCCATTTGCGACCAAGCTTTAACTTCCTGACTGATGTCTTGAGATGTTGCTTCAATATACCCACATAATTTTCCTTCGTCATGATGCCATCTATTTTGTGAAGTGCACCAGTCCCTCCTGCAGCAAAGCACCCCCACAGCATGATGCTGCCACCCCAGTGCTTCACGGTTGGGATGGTGTTCTTCGGCTTGCAAGCCACCCCCTTTTTCCTCCAAACATAACGATGGTCATTATGGCCAAACTGTTCTATTTTTGTTTCATCAGACCAGAGGACATTTCTCCAAAAAGTACGATCTTTGTCCCCATGTGCAGTTGCAAACCGTAGTCTGGCTTTTTTATGGCGGTTTTGGAGCAGTGGCTTCTTCCTTGCTGAGCGGCCTTTCAGGTTATGTCGATATAGGACTCATTTTGCTGTGGATATAGATACTTTTGTACCTGTTTCCTCCAGCATCTTCACAAGGTCCTTTGCTGTTGTTCTGGGATTGATTTGCACTTTTCGCACCAAAGTATCTTAATCTCAAGGAGACAGAACGCGTCTCCTTCCTGAGCGGTATGACGGCTGCGTGGTCCCATGGTGTTTATACTTGCATACTATTGTTTGTACAGATGAACGTGGTACCTTCAAGCGTTTGGAAATTGCTCCCAAGGATGAACCAGACTTGTGGAGGTCTACAATTGTTTTTCTGAGGTCTTGGCTGATTTCTTTTGATTTTCACATGATGTCAAGCAAAGAGGCACTGAGAAATACATCCATAGGTACACCTCCAATTGACTCAAATTGACTGGAATTTTCCAAGCTGTTTAAAGGCACAGTCAACTTAGTGTATGTAAACTTCTGACCCACTGGAATTGTGATACAGTGAATTATAAGTGAAATAATCTGTCTGTAAACAATTGTTGGAAAAATTACTTGTGTCATGCACAACATAGATGTCCTAACCGACTTGCCAAAACTATAGTTTGTTAACATGAAATTTGTGGAGTTTTAATGACTCCAACCTAAGTGTATGTAAACTTCCGACTTCAACTGTACATTCTCTTTCTCCACCCTTTTCTCTATCCCTCATTTTTTATTTCTCCATCTTCTTCTCTCTCCTCCTCACCTCTCTTTCTCAGTCTGACCTTGTCCTTCTGTCTTATCACTCTCTTCTCTCTCTTTCTTCATGTTGATCACTCTGACGTCATCAATGTGCTGCTATACAGTGGGGGAAAAAAGTATTTAGTCAGCCACCAATTGTGCAAGTTCTCCCACGTAAAAAGATGAGAGAGGCCTGTAATTTTCATCATAGGTACACGTCAACTATGACAGACAAATTGAGAAAAAAATATCAAGAAAATCACATTGTAGGTTTTTTAATGAATTTATTTGCAAATTATGGTGGAAAATAACTATTTGGTCACCTACAAACAAGCAAGATTTCTGGCTCTCACAGACCTGTAACAACTTCTTTAAGAGGCTCCTCTGTCCTCCACGCGTTACCTGTATTAATGGCACCTGTTTGAACTTGTTATCAGTATAAAAGACACCTGTCCACAACCTCAAACAGTCACACTCCAAACTCCACTATGGCCAAGACCAAAGAGCTGTCAAAGGACACCAGAAACAACATTGTAGACCTGCACCAGGCTGGGAAGACTGAATCTGCAATAGGTAAGCAGCTTGGTTTGAAGAAATCAACTGTGGGAGCAATTATTAGGAAATGGAAGACATACAAGACCACTGATAATCTCCCTCAATATGGGGCTCCACGCAAGATCTCACCCCGTGGGGTCAAAATGATCACAAGAACGGTGAGCAAAAATCCCAGAACCACACGGGGAGACCTAGTGAATGACCTGCAGAGAGCTGGGACCAAAGTAACAAAGCCTACCATCAGTAACACACTACGCCGCCAGGGACTCAAATCCTGCAGTGCCAGACGTGTCTCCCTGCTTAAGCCAGTACATGTCCAGGCCCGTCTGAAGTTTGCTAGAGTGCATTTGGATGATCCAGAAGAACATTGGGAGAATGTCATATGGTCAGATGAAACCAAAATATAACTTTTTGGTAAAAACTCAACTCGTCGTGTTTGGAGGACAAAGAATGCTGAGTTGCATCCAAAGAACACCATACCTACTGTGAAGCATGGGGGTGGAAACATCATGCTTTGGGGCTGTTTTTCTACAAAGAGACCAGGACGACTGATCCGTGTAAAGGAAAGAATGAATGGGGCCATGTATCGTGAGATTTTGAGTGAAAACCTCCTTCCATCAGCAAGGGCATTGAAGATGAAACGTGGCTGGGTCTTTCAGCATGACAATGATCCCAAACACACCGCCCGGGCAACGAAGGAGTGGCTTCGTAAGAAGCATTTCAAGGTCCTGGAGTGGCCTAGCCAGTCTCCAGATCTCAACCCCATAGAACATCTTTGGAGGGAGTTGAAAGACTGTGTTGCCCAGTGACAGCCCCAAAACATCACTGCTCCAGAGGAGATCTGCATGGAGGAATGGGTCAAAATACCAGCAACAGTGTGTGAAAACCTTGTGAAGACTTACAGAAAACGTTTGACCTGTGTCATTGCCAACAAAGGGTATATAACAAAGTATTGAGAAACTTTTGTTATTGACCAAATACTTATTTTCCACCATAATTTGCAAATAAATTCATAAAAAATCCTACAATGTGATTTTCTGGAATTTTTTTTCTCATTTTGTCTGTCATAGTTGACATGTACCTATGATGAAAATTACAGGCCTTCTCATCTTTTTAAGTGGGAGAACTTGCACAATTGGTGGCTGACTAAATTCTTTTTTTCCCCACTGTATGTAAACTTCTGACCACTGGGAATGTGAAGAAAGAAATAAAAGCTGAAATAAATCATTCTCTCTACTATTATTCTGACATTTCACATTCTTAAAATAAAGTGTTGATCCTAACTGACCTGAGACAGGGAATTTTTACTAGGATTAATTTTGTCAGGAATTTTGAAAACTGAGTTTAAATGTATTTGGCTAAGGTGTATTTAAACTTCCGACTTACATACTACCTGTACACATTTTGGACACACCTTCTCATTCAAGGGTTTTTCTTTATTTTTACTATTTTTTATATTGTAGAATAATAGTGAAGACACCAAAACTGTGAAATGACGTATAAATTAAAATATATTTTGTATTTGAGATTCTTCAAATAGCAACCCTTTGCCTTGATGACAGCATTGCACACTGTTTGACCAAGAAGGAGAGTGATGGAGTGCTGCATCAGATGACCTGGCATCCACAATCCCCCGACCTCAACCCAATTGAGATGGTTTGGGATGAGTCGGACCGCAGAGTGAAGGAAAAGCAGTCAATAAGTGCTCAGCATACAGTGGGGAGAACAAGTATTTGATACACTGACGATTTTGCAGGTTTTCCTACTTACAAAGCATGTAGAGGTCTGTAATTTTTATCATAGGTACACTTCAACTGTGAGAGACGGAATCTAAAACAAAAATCCAGAAAATCACATTGTATGATTTTTAAGTAATTAATTTGCATTTTATTGCATGACATAAGTATTTGATCACCTACCAACCAGTAAGAATTCCGGCTCTCACAGACCTGTTAGTTTTTCTTTAAGAAGCCCTCCTGTTCTCCACTCATTACCTCTCAACTGCACCTGTTTGAACTTGTTACTTGTATAAAAGACACCTGTCCACACACTCAATCAAACAGACTCCAACCTCTCCACAATGGCCAAGACCAGAGAGCTGTGTAAGGACATCAGGGATAGAATTGTAGACATGCACAAGGCTGGGATGGGCTACAGGACAATAGGCAAGCAGCTTGGTGAGAAGGCAACAACTGATGGCGCAATTATTAGAAAATGGAAGAAGTTCAAGATGACGGTCAATCACCCTCGGTCTGGGGCTCCATGCAAGATCTCACCTCGTGGGGTATCAATGATCATGAGGAAGGTGAGGGATCAGCCCAGAACTACACGGCAGGACCTGGTCAATGACCTGAAGAGAGCTGGGACCACAGTCTCAAAGAAAACCATTAGTAACACACTACGCCGTCATGGATTAAAATCCTGCAGCGCACGCAAGGTCCCCCTGCTCAAGCCAGCGCATGTCCAGGCCCATCTGAAGTTTGCCAATGACCATCTGGATGATCCAGAGGAGGAATGGGAGAAGGTCATGTGGTCTGATGAGACAAAAATATAGCTTTTTGGTCTAAACTCCACTTGCCGTGTTTGGAGGAAGAAGAAAGATGAGTACAACCCAAAGAACGCCATCCCAACCGTGAAGCATGGAGGTGGAAACATCATTCTTTGGGGATGCTTTTCTGCAAAGGGGATAGGACGACTGCACCGTATTGAGGGGAGGATGGATGGGGCCATGTATCGCGAGATCTTGGCCAACAACCTCCTTCCGTCAGTAAGAGCATTGAAGATGGGTCGTGGCTGGGTCTTCCAGCATGACAACGACCCTAAACACACAGCCAGGGCAACTAAGGAGTGGCTCCGTAAGAAGCATCTCAAGGTCCTAGAGTGGCCTAGCCAGTCTCCAGACCTGAACCCAATAGAAAATCTTTGGAGGGAGCTGAAAGTCCGTATTGCCCAGCGACAGCCCCGAAACCTGAAGGATCTGGAGAAGGTCTGTATGGAGGAGTGGGCCAAAATCCCTGCTGCAGTGTGTGCAAACCTGGTCAAGACCTACAGGAAACGTATGATCTCTGTAATTGCAAACAAAGGTTTCTGTACCAAATATTAAGTTCTGCTTTTCTGATGTATCAAATACTTATGTCATGCAATAAAATACAAATTAATTACTTAAAAATCATTCAATGTGATTTTCTGGATTCCGTCTCTCACAGTTGAAGTGTACCTATGATAAAAATTACAGACCTCTACATGCTTTGTAAGTAGGAAAACCTGCAAAATCGGCAGTGTATCAAATACTTGTTCTCCCCACTGTATGTGGGAACTCCTTCAAGACTGTTGGGAAAGCATTCCAGGTGAAGCTGGTTGAGAGAATGCCAAGAGTGTGCAAAGCTGTCATCAAGGCAAAGGGTGGCTATTTGAAGAATCTCAAATATAAAATATATTTTTATTTGTTGAACATGTATGTAGAATAAGTATTTGATACACTGCCGATTTTGCAGGCCCACTCCTCCATACATACCTTCTCCAGATCCTTTAGGTTTCGGGGCTGTCGCTGGGCAATACGGACTTTCAGCTCCCTCCAAAGATTTTCTTTTGGGTTCAGGTCTGGAGACTGGCTAGGCCACTCCAGAACCTTGAGATGCTTCTTTCGGAGCCACTCCTTAGTTGCCCTGGCTGTGTGTTTCGGGTCGTTCTCATGCTGGAAGACCCAGCCACGACCCATCTTCAATGCTCTTACTGAAGGAAGGAGGTTGTTGGCCAAGATCTCGCGATACATGGCCCCATCCATCCTCCCCTCAATACGGTGCAGTCGTCCTATCCCCTTTGCAGAAAAGCATCCCCAAAGAATGATGTTTCCACCTCCATGCTTCACGGTTGGGATGGCGTTCTTTGGGTTGTACTCATCTTTCTTCTTCCTCCAAACACGGCAAGTGGAGTTTAGACCAAAAAGCTATATTTTTGTCTCATCAGACCACATGACCTTCTCCCATTCCTCCTCTGGATCATCCAGATGGTCATTGGCAAACTTCAGATGGGCCTGGACATGCGCTGGCTTGAGCAGGGGGACCTTGCGTGCGCTGCAGGATTTTAATCCATGACGGCGTAGTGTGTTACTAATGGTTTTCTTTGAGACTGTGGTCCCAGCTCTCTTCAGGTCATTGACCAGGTCCTGCCGTGTAGTTCTGGGCTGATCCCTCACCTTCCTCATGATCATTGATACCCCACGAGGTGAGATCTTGCATGGAGCCCCAGACCGAGGGTGATTGACCGTCATCTTGAACTTCTTCCATTTTCTAATAATTGCGCCATCAGTTGTTGCCTTCTCACCAAGCTGCTTGCCTATTGTCCTGTAGCCCATCCCAGCCTTGTGCATGTCTACAATTCTATCCCTGATGTCCTTACACAGCTCTCTGGTCTTGGCCATTGTGGAGAGGTTGGAGTCTGTTTGATTGAGTGTGTGGACAGGTGTCTTTTATACAAGTAACAAGTTCAAACAGGTGCAGTTGAGAGGTAATGAGTGGAGAACAGGAGGGCTTCTTAAAGAAAAACTAACAGGTCTGTGAGAGCCGGAATTCTTACTGGTTGGTAGGTGATCAAATACTTATGTCATGCAATAAAATGCAAATTAATTACTTAAAAATCATACAATGTGATTTTCTGGATTTTTGTTTTAGATTCCGTCTCTCACAGTTGAAGTGTACCTATGATAAAAATGACAGACCTCTACATGCTTTGTAAGTAGGAAAACCTGCAAAATCGTCAGTGTATCAAATACTTGTTCTCCCCACTGTATGTATAGATATATGTATGTATATGTATATACCATTTTTTCCCCCCTCTTCTGAAGCCAGGGAAAGTCTGACAATGTCATCGCTTTACATTCAGAGTGCAGTCCTCTGCAAATCTGCTGCCACTAAGTGTCAAGAGAAAGCATGTGTTCACACAAAATGCAACGTGAGCAAATGAAAAAATATCTACACAGTAACCCGTGTACTCAGCATGTGGCCATGCTGCATGAGAAGTACTTTCTGCTTTGATTTATGTTTTAGGCTACTCACAGAAATGCATGTAATCTCCTACCAGTGATATTTTTTTCTCCATTTGAAATTTGTTTCACTCACAGAGATACATTATCCCAAATAATATCCCGTTAATACATTACTGCACATGGCATTATTTCTTCATAAATGAGAGATTCCCCCCCCCCCCCCCCCCCCCCCCCCCCCCCAACCTGGCATTCCAAGAGCATAATGTGTTTGTCTTTGTCCAACCTGGAAAGTCCAGACTGTGCAAGTATACTTTGGATCCAACCTGGCAACCTTGGACTATAAAAAGTACAAAGTAGCCTATGCCTACCTGGCAGAATGATTATTTGCATCAATCCAGTGGGCATCATTTGTTTTGCAAACTCCCTCCCATGTGCTCTACAGAGAATCTGCTAACCAAACAACAGTGCTGGTAGGTGCCTGCTCAGTTGAATTAAAGGGTAACTACACTCTAAATTTCTTAGATTTTCCCAGACCTTAGGTAGTCTCCTTATGTGGTTCAAGTATTGTTGTGGACTTAGAACATCCAATTTTGTTTTCTGTAAATAAAACAAAGTGTGATTTTTGAGAGCGAAAACCTAAAAGAAACTTGGACATTTTTTTGGTATCGAGTGTTGTGATACTAAACCTGGTATCGGTATCAAAGTAAAAATTCTGGTATAGTGACAAAACTACCTCAGCCTTAGAAAGTGTTATATGCCAACCTGGCAACCTCAGACTATAAATGGTGATTTTCTACCCAACATGGCAATCTCAAACTATAGATAGTGATCGTGACCGAACCTGGCAACCTCAGACTATAACATTTTGACCTAACCTGTCAACCTTTGACTATAAAGGGTCATTTTGACCCAACCTGGCAATCCAAGACTATAAAAGGAGATTTTCCAACCTGGCAACCTCAGATTATAAAAGGGGATTTTTCACCCAGCCTGGCACCCCGTTGCTCTGTCATGTTTGTCTGATGATGTGTTCAGACGACACCCCTGAATTCCCAGACACCTCATCATCCTTTGCTTCAATTGCCCACGGAAACTTCTCCTGGATTATTACAGAAACAGATTGTGCCTTTCTCTAAGCAGTAAGAAGCAGATTATTCAGTCAACCTTTTATCTGTTCTTGATTATGGGGATATTATTTATCAAAGTGCAGCTGATACTACTCTTAAACCTTTGGATTCCCTTCGTTTTGTTACAGGTGACAGTTTTGATACTCATCACTGCATCCTGTATCAAAAGGTTGGCTAAAGACCCGTAGATCTCTACATTACTCCCTTTTGCTTACAAGGCCCTACTTCATAAACTTCCGTCTTATCTAACTTTGCTGTTGAAGTATAGACACTTGAGTTGCCAAACCCGTTCACAGGATTGGTTAACTTTTTAGGTTCCTAGGGTCTCCACCAAGCTAGGTAAATGTGCTTTTAGTTAAATGCACAGTATTGCTGGAACAAAACTGATGTTCTGGTGCCATTCGGGCAATTTAAAGTATTAATTGGGGACTCCCTCTGCTCCTGTATTACTGCCCACGGAAACAGAGGGATGAAAAAGTGACACAATGTAAAAGCCCCCCGTGTAGCTCAGTTGGTAGAGCATGGCGCTTGCAACGCCAGGTTTGTGGGTTCATTTCCCACGGGGGGCCAGTATGAAAATGTATGCACTCACTAACTGTAAGTTGCTCTGGATAAGAGCGTCTGCTAAATGACTTAAAATGTAACTGGAAGGCCACACTAACAGAACAGGACTCTGGGCAGACAGCCAGTCCGAAGAGAATGCTCTGTCACTTCTTATAGCTCTCCAGACTAGACAGAAAGCGCTTGGCAGTGGTGTTTTGTTTTGTGTCTTTTTTCTCCTTCCTTTATTTGACCACTGAGGGGAGGTTGAGAGGATAGGCTAACTACTGTATATGTCTGTAGTTAAAGGGTAAAGGGTCCAGTACTCTGTTGTTAAAGGGTAAAGGGTCCAATACTCTGTTGTTAAAGGGTAAAGGGTCCAATACTCTGTTGTTAAAGGGTCCAGTACTCTGTTGTTAAAGGGTCCAATACTCTGTTGTTAAAGGGTAAAGGGTCCAATACTCTGTTGTTAAAGGGTAAAGGGTCCAGTACTCTGTTGTTAAAGGGTCCAGTACTCTGTTGTTAAAGGGTATTGTACTCTGCCTCCCACCGGTCTCAGCTTGTGGTCATTAAGGCCAGGATCAGACCAAACCGCCTGGCCTGAAACAAGTAATGTTAGAGGTTGCAACCAAATGACTCATCTTCTCTCTTTCCTCTTCTCTCTCCTCTCTCTCTTTTCTCTTTCTTCTCCCTCCCTCCATCTCTCAACTCCATTTCCCCTTCTCCTTCTCTCTCGGTTTCTTGATTCTCCCTCTCTTTCTTTCCCCTCTCATACCCTTCTTCTCGCGCTTCTCTACTCACCCCCTCACAAGAAAAACAAGGTGAGATGACTTTTGCCCTGTCGTGCTCACCTCGGTCATCATGAGTGGCGCAGTGGTCTAAGGCACTGCATCGCAGTGCTAACTGTGCCACTAGAGATCCTGGTTCGAATCCAGGCTCTGTCGCAACCGGCCGCGACCGGGAGACTCATGGGCGGCGCACAATTGGCCCAGTGTCGTCCAGGGTAGGGGAGGGAATGGCCGGCAGGGATGTAGCTCAGTTGATAGAGCATGGCATTTGCAACACCAGGGTTGTGGGTTCGATTCCCACGGGGGGGCCAGTATAAAAAAAATATGTATTCACTAACTGTAAGTCGCTCTGGATAAGAGCGTCTGCTAAATGACTAAAATGTAAAATCTAAATGAAGTGCTTCGAGAGGCTGGTCATGTCCCACATCAAGGCCAGCATGCCAGGCACACTGGACCCACTGCCATTTCCATCGCTATTCACACGGCCATAACACATCTGGAAAAGAGGAACACCTATGTGAGAATGCTGTTCATTGACTACAGTTCAGCATTCAACACTATTGTTCCCACCAAGCTCCGAGCCCTTGGTCTGGACACCTCCCTCTGCAACTGGATCTTGGACTTCCTGACGGGCAGACCACAGGCTGTGAGAATAGACAACAACACCACCTCTACACTGATTCTTAACACAGGGGCCCCTCATGGGTTTTGCATGACACAAAGGGGCTTTGCAAGACTCCATCAACAAGGTTGCTGACAACACCACGGTTGTAGGCCTGATAACCAACAACGACGAGTCAGCCTATAATGGAGGAGGTAAGTGAACTGACATTGTGGTGTCACGACAACAACTTCTCCCTCAACGTCAGCAAAACAAAATAGTTGATTGTTCTCTTCAGGAAGCAGAGGAGTTTTAAGTTCCTCGGCAACCACATCACTGAGGACCAACAACACCACCGCTCTTGTCAAGAGGGCACAAAAACACCTCTACTTCCTAAGGCGGCTGAAAAATGTGGCATTCCGCCCGGGTCCTCTCCAAATACTACCGTTGCACCATCGAGAGCGTCCTGACTGGTTGCATCACGGCCTGGTACGGGAATTGCTCCATGCACGACCACAAGGCCCTCCAGCGGGTGGTGAAGATGACCCATGCTTCCACCCATCCAGGACATCTACTCGAAACAGTGCCTGAGGAAGGCACGCAGCAACATCAAGGACCCTACACACTCCAGCCACGAGCTGTTCTCTCCCTTACCGTCGGGCAGACGGTATCGGCGCATGAGGTCTGATACCAACAGGCTCGGAGACAGGTTCTATCTACAAGCCATCAGACTGCTGAACACTTGAACTGGACTGACCACCTGCTCTGATTCTCTGCACTTAGCACACATGCACTCACTCATGCACACACCCACACAGACATACACACAAACACACATATACAGTGGGGAGAACAAGTATTTGATACACTGCCGATTTGCAGGTTTTCCTACTTACAAAGCATGTAGAGGTCTGTAATTTTTATCATGGGTACACTTCAACTGTGAGAGACGGAATCTAAAACAAAAATCCAGAAAATCACATTGTATGATTTTTAAGTAATTAATTTGTATTTTATTGCATGACATAAGTATTTGATACATCAGAAAAGCAGAACTTAATATTTGGTACAGAAACCTTTGTTTGCAATTACAGAGATCATTCGTTTTCTGTAGGTCTTGACCAGGTTTGCACACACTGCAGCAGGGATTTTGGCCCACTCCTCCATACAGACCTTCTCCAGATCCTTCAGGTTTCGGGGCTGTCGCTGGGCAATACGGACTTTCAGCTCCCTCCAAAGATTTTCTATTGGGTTCAGGTCTGGAGACTGGCTAGGCCACTCCAGGACCTTGAGATGCTTCTTACGGAGCCACTCCTTAGTTGCCTTGGCTGTGTGTTTCGGGTCGTTGTCATGCTGGAAGACCCAGCCTCGACCCATCTTCAATGCTCTTACTGAGGGAAGGAGGTTGTTGGCCAAGATCTCGTGATACATGGCCCCATCCATCCTCCCCTCAATACGGTGCAGTCGTCCTGTCCCCTTTGCAGAAAAGCATCCCCAAAGAATGATGTTTCCACCTCCATGCTTCACGGTTGGGTTGGTGTTCTTGGGGTTGTACTCATCCTTCTTCTTCCTCCAAACACGGCGAGTGGAGTTTAGACCAATAAGCTATATTTTGGTCTCATCAGACCACATGACCTTCTCCCATTCCTCCTCTGGATCATCCAGATGGTCATTGGCAAACTTCAGACGGGCCTGGACATGCGCTGGCTTGAGCAGGGGGACCTTGCGTGCGCTGCAGGATTTTAATCCATGACGGCGTAGTGTGTTACTAATAGTTTTCTTTGAGACTATGGACCCAGCTCTCTTCAGGTCATTGACCAGGTCCTGCCGTGTAGTTCTGGGCTGATCCCTCACCTTCCTCATGATCATTGATGCCCCACGAGGTGAGATCTTGCATGGAGCCCCAGACCGAAGGTGATTGACCGTCATCTTGAACTTCTTCCATTTTCTAATAATTGCGCCATCAGTTGTTGCCTTCTCACCAAGCTGCTTGCCTATTGTCCTGTAGCCCATCCCAGCCTTGTGCAGGTCTACAATTTTATCCCTGATGTCCTTACACAGCTCTCTGGTCTTGGCCATTGTGGAGAGGTTGGAGTCTGTTTGATTGAGTGTGTGGATAGGTGTCTTTTATACAGGTAACGAGTTCAAACAGGTGCAGTTAAAACAGGTAATGAGTGGAAAACAGGAGGGCTTCTTAAAGAAAAACTAACAGGTCTGTGAGAGCCGTAATTCTTACTGGTTGGTAGGTGATCAAATACTTATGTCATGCAGTAAAATGCAAATTAATTACTTAAAAATCATACAATGTGATTTTCTGGATTTTTGTTTTAGATTCCATCTCTCACAGTTGAAGTGTAGCTATGATAAAAATTACAGACCTCTACATGCTTTGTAAGTAGGAAAACCTGCAAAATCGTCAGTGTATCAAATACTTGTTCTCCCCACTGTACATTCATGCTACACACACATCACAACTGTTGCTACCAGACTCTTATTATACTGCTAAATTTAAACACTTGCCCCCATCCCCCCTTCCCCAATACACATGTAAATATTGCCCTAGAAATTGTGCCTTCATGTATTATACTTATGCTAAAATGTTTATTCTATTCTACTGCCATTTATTTTATGTTCGTATTCTTATGTTTTATTATTTCTTATTGTTGTTGTATATTAGTATTTAAAGAATTGGAATACACCAGGTGCTACAGCTACTAGCATAGCTTGCTATCCTAGTTGTGGATCTACTCATACACCATCTAGCATTCCGTAGCTAGCCACCTCAGGACAAAATCTATTCAGATACAACTGAAGTTGCAACTGTTAACATAGCACACTATCTCAGCATTGTATGTCTCTTATACACCTCACCAGTTACACACAGCAGTTACCCATAGCAGTCCACATATCTCAGTATTGGATCAATTGTAATACATCCTGAGCTACATAGATGAGATTGATACAACAAGGACATAGTGTAAAGCTGCTGAGTTAAAGATTCAATGAAAGAGAGAGAGTGGTTAAATCCTGGACCACTATGGGAATGACTAGACTAGAGCAGGGTTTCCCAAACTCTGTCCTGGGACCCCCTGGGTGTACGTTTTGGTTTTTGCCCTACCACTACGCAACTGATTCAAATAACCATCTCATAATCAAGCTTGATGATTTGAATCAGCTGTGACTGGTAGTAGGATACATGTATATACATACTTATGGTAATATACTAATGGTAATGTCACGCCCTAGCTCGGGGGACTCTCGTATGTTGAGCCAGGGTGTTAGTTTCTATGTTTTGTTGTGGGTCTAGGTTATTGTATTTCTTTGTTTGAGTGACTCCCAATCAGAGGTAACGAGTGTCAGCTGTTGGCTCGTTGTCTCTGATTGGGAGCCATATTTAACTATCTGTCTTTCACGTTGTGTTTGTGGTTTCTTGTTCATTTTGTTCCGTGTTGGTTTGTTTTTGTAACCAAGGACGTCACGTTTCGTTGTTTTGATCGTGTGATCTTGATAAAATAAATATGTTTGCTTTCAACGCTGCGCCTTGGTCCTCTCCCTCCTTAAGCGATCGTGACAGAAGAAACCACCAAGATGGGACCAAGCAGCGTGTCCAGGAGCCATCGCCAGGGAGATCCCTCACAGATCTCCTTCGCCTCCTGGACTGGGTCAAGCCGAGGGAGGAAGACAAGGGCTTGACATTATGGCAGAAGGGCGAGAGGCTGGCGAGGGATATGGAGACCTGGTCCACGGGTAGGAGAGACGCCCCGAAAATTTTTAGGGGGGGGCTCACGACGTCGGACCAGCAGGAGGCCGCGATAGAGCGGCCCAGTGGGTTGCCGGAGAAGGCCGCCAGGTTACGGGGGCCACTGGTCGAAGAGGGGATGGAGGAAGTAGAGGCACGGCGAGAGGTACTGGCGTGTGTTGCCAGTCCGGTCCGGCCCGTTCCAGATCCCGGTGTAGAGCTAGTGGTGTGTGTCCCCAGTACGGTCCGGTCTATTCCTGCTCCCCGCACCGAACCTGCGGTGCGCGTCGCCAGCCCAGTCCGGCCCATTCCTGCTCCCCGCATCAAGTCTGTGGTGCGTCTCGTCAGCCCGGCTCTGCCCGTTCCTGCTCCCCGCACCAGGTCTGTGGTGCGCGTCGCCAGCCCAGTCCGGCCCATTCCTGCTCCCCGCATCAAGCCTGTGGTGCGTCTCGTCAGCCCGGCTCTGCCCGTTCCTGCTCCCCGCACCAGGTCTGTGGTGCGCGTCGCCAGCCCAGTCCGGCCCATTCCTGCTCCCCGCGTCAAGTCTGTGGTGCGTCTCGTCAGCCCGGCTCTGCCCGTTCCTGCTCTCCGCACCAGGTCTGTGGTGCGCGTCGCCAGCCCGGTCCGGCCCATTCCTGCTCCCAGCACCAAGTCTGTGGGGCGTTTCGTCAGCCCTGTCCGGCCCGCTCCTGCTCCCCACACCAAGCCAGTGGTGTGCGTCGTCAGTGCAGCACGGCCCGTGCCTGTTCCCCACACCAAGCCAGTGGTGTGCGTCGTCGGTCCGGCACGGCACGTGCCTGTTCCACTGGAGCCGGATCCGCCGCCTAGGCGGAGTGCCCACCCAGTCCCTCCCCTGTTGTGTTTCGTTGGCGCGGTCGGAGTCCGCGCCTTTAGGGGGGGGTACTGTCACGCCCTGGCTCGGGGGACTCTCGTATGTTGAGCCAGGGTGTTAGTTTCTATGTTTTGTTGTGGGTCTAGGTTATTGTATTTCTTTGTTTGAGTGACTCCCAATCAGAGGTAACGAGTGTCAGCTGTTGGCTCGTTGTCTCTGATTGGGAGCCATATTTAACTATCTGTCTTTCACGTTGTGTTTGTGGTTTCTTGTTCATTTTGTTCCGTGTTGGTTTGTTTTTGTAACCAAGGACGTCATGTTTCGTTGTTTTGATCGTGTGATCTTGATAAAATAAATATGTTTGCTTTCAACGCTGCGCCTTGGTCCTCTCCCTCCTTAGACGATCGTGACAGGTAATATATACATGTAAACAGAAGTTATAGTGACCAGTAGATAAATAGATCCATTAGATACTAATGGTAATGGCAATCAATAATCAATGAACAGCAGCATAGGGGTGGTATTAAATCAAATCCAAAATCATTTTAGCATCAGCGTAGGTGAGGGGGGTGTGTATGTATGGGTGTAAGTGTGTGGCGTCAGTGATGAGTGTGTGAGTGACAGGGAAGGTGTGTGCGTCTGAGTGGGTAGAGACCTGTGGATGGGCACAGAGTCAGTGTAGATAGTCTGTGGGGGAGGGACAGCAGTAGTTAGACATTTAACATTTGGAACACATCCAATAAGTTAAACAGCCTTGTGATCCTTTCAAACGCTTCATGGCTTCTCATTGACTGACCTCTTTGTGTTTTCTGCTGTTTTCTAGATTTATTTGCAACAATTATGAAATTATGGAAGATTTCCATGAGGTGATGATATATTACTTGGAATCTATGAAAGAGATGTTTATCTTAATAAGGAAATACCAGTTGATCTAAAGGTTTGATGTGAAGAAAAATACACAAGGGATATTATGTTTTTCGGACCTGTGTGTTGTTTCGTCCAACTGAAAGTCAAAGCCTTTGGCAGTAGTTGTCTAGCAGATTGTGTCCACAGCGGGAGGCTGACATGGGGTGTGGATGGGTGTGTTTGAATGGCCACCTCTGCTTGTTTCTATTTGGCATGGCAGCATTTTAGAGTCAGTTTAGACTTTTGGACCAAGGCAAATACAGCAACCTGTAGAATCCCCTAAAGACTTCTAACCCTGATAGTTTGTCAAATGTTTTCATACCTATATAGTGGCATTGTGTCAAGCTGAATGTATATATTCAACATAATCTATTGTTTGATCTTGTTGTATGCATTTATGTGATAACTGTTCACTCTATTAACTGTCCGTTCACTCTCTTATCCTCCTCTTCCTCCTCCTCTCTCTTAGGTCTGTCTGGTAACCCAGTGGATCTGGAGAAGCGCCACACAGCGTTTGGGAAGAACTTCATCCCTCCTAAGCAGCCTAAGTCCTTCCTGGCGCTGGTGTGGGAGGCTCTACAGGATGTTACTCTAATCATCCTGGAGATTGCTGCCGTCATCTCCCTGGGCCTGTCCTTCTACCACCCCCCTGGGGGAGATAGCGAACGTGAGTAGTACACCCTAACCCATGGCAGTTAGAACGGGTGGGAGGGGTGGGGACTGGGGCATGAAGGGAGAATTGAGGGTTTGCAAATGTTTTAATTTCCTGTTCCACTGACCTGGTCGTGTTGTGGTCTTGTATCACTGACCTGGTCGTGTTGTGGTCTTGTATCACTGACCTGGTCGTGTTGTGGTCTTGTATCACTGACCTGGTCGTGTTGTGGTCTTGTATCACTGACCTGGTCGTGTTGTGGTCTTGTATCACTGACCTGGTCGTGTTGTGGTCTTGTATCACTGACCTGGTCGTGTTGTGGTCTTGTATCACTGACCTGGTCGTGTTGTGGTCTTGTATCACTGACCTGGTCGTGTTGTGGTCTTGTATCACTGACCTGGTCGTGTTGTGGTCTTGTATCACTGACCTGGTCGTGTTGTGGTCTTGTATCACTGACCTGGTCGTGTTGTGGTCTTGTATCACTGACCTGGTCGTGTTGTGGTCTTGTATTACTGACCTGGTCGTGTTGTGGTCTTGTATTACTGACCTGGTCGTGTTGTGGTCTTGTATCACTGACCTGGTCGTGTTGTGGTCTTGTATTACTGACCTGGTTGTGACCTGATCATGTTGTGGTGCTGTGTTCTGCTTTCCCCAGTGTGTGGTGAGACAGCGTCTGGAGTGGAGGATGAAGGCGAGGCGCAGGCGGGCTGGATCGAGGGCGCCGCCATCTTGTTCTCTGTTGCCATCGTTGTCTTGGTAACGGCATTTAATGACTGGAGCAAGGAGAAGCAGTTCCGCGGGCTGCAGAGCCGAATCGAGCAGGAGCAGAAGTTCACCGTCATCCGCAAAGGCCAGGTCATCCAGATCCCTGTGTCCGAACTAGTAACGGGAGACATTGCCCAGATCAAATACGGTAAGACATGGTTCAGATAAAATAAAAGCTATCACTTGAATGAAACATGCTGTGACATTCCCCTTCCATTGGAAGTATTTGAAAGTATTTTCTAATAAATTACTATAAATAGCCTACTATTTGAAAGTATTAACAAATACTTATTTCCAAATAGGCCTACATTATTTAAAATACCAAACCGACCTGGTTCAAATGCATGGGAGTATTAAAGTATTTGTATAAATACTGTGTATTTGATTATTTTCAAATACATGCCAATACATTACAAGTGTATTTCCAAATACATTCCAATATTCAACTACTTGTTTTGAAATAAAAAATATCCAAATACTTACCTCCAAATTATTCTGAAAGTAAATGAAATACCCTAAATAGAATTTGAACCTAGGTCTGGATACAGTGAACCAATATGATGAGGTAACACATTGACCAAATGTACAAAGGTACGGAATATGGTGAGACATTGTATATCACAGTCATATAACTGTGTAACTGTTTCCTAGGTGATCTTCTGCCAGCTGATGGTATCCTGATCCAGGGAAACGACCTGAAGATTGACGAAAGCTCTCTGACCGGTGAATCAGACCAAGTCAGGAAGTCCCTGGAGAAAGACCCCATGCTGCTGTCCGGTGAGAGCGCCTATTCATAATATCACTATTATCAGACATTCACTATCCCAGTCAGGACCTCTGTTGTTTTAAATGATAACATATGATGTGTGATTCAGTATGGAGACTGAAAATGGAGGACACAATGGAATAACATACAGCATAGTCATTCATACATACAGCACAGTCATTCATACATACAGCACAGTCATTCATACATATAGCACAGTCATTCATACATATAGCACAGTCATTCATACATACATACATACATACATACATACATACAGCACAGTCATTCATACGTATAGCACAGCCATTCATACATACAGTACAGTCATTCATACAGTGAGGGAAAAAAGTATTTGATCCCTTGCTGATTTTGTGCTTTTGCCCACTGACAAAGTATCAGTCTATAATTGTAATGGTAGGTTTATTTGAACAGTGAGAGACAGAATAACAACAAAAAAATCCAGAAAAATGCATGTCAAAAATGTATTTGACCCCTCTGCCAAACATGACTTTGTGATTGCCAACAAGGGTTTTGCCACCAAGTACTGAGGTCAGACGTTTCTTGTAGTTGGCCACCAGGTTTGCAAACATCTCAGGAGGGATTTTGTCCCACTCCTCTTTGCAGATCTTCTCCAAGTCATTAAGGTTTCGAGGCTGACGTTTGGCAACTCAAACCTTCAGCTCCCTCCACATATTTTCTATGGGATTAAGGTCTGGAGACTGGCTAGGCCACTCCAGGACCTCAATGTGCTTCTTCTTGAGCCACTCCTTTGTTGCCTTGGCCGTGTGTTTTGGTTCATTGTCATGCTGGAATACCCATCCACGACCCATTTTCAATGCCCTGGCTGAGGGAAGGAGGTTCTCACCCAAGATTTGACGGTGCTTTGATGCGGTGAAGTTGTCTGTCCCCTTAGCAGAAAAACACCCCCAAAGCATAATGTTTCCACCTCCATGTTTGACGGTGGGGCTGGTGTTCTTGGGGTCATAGGCAGCATTCCTCCTCCTCCAAACACGGCGAGTTGAGTTGATGCCAAAGAGCTCCATTTTGGTCTCATCTGACCACAACACTTTCACCCAGTTCTCCTCTGAATCATTCAGATGTTCATTGGCAAACTTCAGAAGGGCATGTATATGTGCTTTCTTGAGCAGGGGGACCTTGCGGGCGCTGCAGGATTTCAGTCCTTCACGGCGTAGTGTGTTACCAATTGTTTTCTTGGTGACTATGGTCCCAGCTGCCTTGAGATCATTGACAAGATCCTCCCGTGTAGTTCTGGGCTGATTCCTCACCGTTCTCATGATCATTGCAACTCCACGAGGTGAGACCTTGCATGGAGCCCCAGGCCGAGGGAGATTGACAGTTCTTTTGTGTTCCTTCCATTTGCGAATAATCGCACCAACTGTTGTCACCTTCTCACCAAGCTGCTTGGTGATGGTCTTGTAGCCCATTCCAGCCTTGTGTAGGTCTACGATCTTGTGCCTGACATCCTTGGAGAGCTCTTTGGTCTTGGCCATGGTGGAGAGTTTGGAATCTGATTGATTGATTGCTTCTGTGGACAGGTGTCTTTTATACAGGTAACAAACTGAGATTAGGAGCACTCCCTTTAAGAGTGTGCTCCTAATCTCAGCTCGTTACCTGTATAAAAGACACCTGGGAGCCAGAAATCTTTCTGATTGAGAGGGGGTCAAATACTTATTTCCCTCATTTAAAATGCAAATCAATTTATAACATTTTTGACATGCGTTGTTCTGGATTTTTTTGTTGTTATTCTGTCTCTCACTGTTCAAATAAACCTACTATTAAAATTATAGACTGATAATTTCTTTGTCAGTGGGCAAACGTACAAAATCAGCAGGGGATCAAATACTTTTTTCCCTCACTGTACATACAGTGATTCATACATACAACACAGTCATTCATACATACAACACAGTCATTCATACGTACAGCATAGTCATTCATACGTACAGCACAGTCATTCATACATATAGCACAGTCATTCATACATATAACACAGTCATGACCTTTCCGTTAATGTGCTAGTATCTAATTTATCTTCTCTCTCTCTCTCTCTCTCCTTCCCCACTCTCTTCTTATCCTCTCTCTTTCTCCCCCTTCCCTCCCTTCCTCCACCAGGCACCCATGTGATGGAGGGTTCAGGTAGAATGATGGTGTCTGCAGTGGGTCTCAACTCCCAGACTGGAATCATCTTCACTCTGCTTGGGGCGGGAGACTGCGACGAGGAAAAGAAGATCAAGAAAGGTGAGAGATGGGGGGGGGGGGAACGAGGACAAATGCACATCGCCACGGTAACAGTTCACAGAGTCAGTGACTGGCTTTTTCCCCAATCTATCTCCTGTCTGTGTGTTTCTATCTGCTGAGCTATCCTTGTCTTTCTACGTGAGCTCTCTGTTTGCTGGTTCCCTGAGGTAAGATTCTAGTGGAAGGACGAGTTACTGCAGTCTGTTGAACTCTAGAATGATGTAAAGAAAGATGGGACAGCCATGATAAACACTGTACTATGGAGGCCAGAGGTTCCATTCAGTTTCATTGACATCGCTGTCTTATTCTTATTTATCTAATCCCTGGTGTTAGTTTTCTCATCCAAGCCAAGGCCCTTTCTAGACCACTCCTTCGTAGGAGTGGTTCTGTTCTGTTCATGGACGATTGGGTGGTCATTCTATGCCACAGACCCACTGTCAGGAAAAACTGATTTCCACTCTTTCATCCCTCCCTTTTGTATCTGTTCTAATTAAACAACACTAAGGCCTCCAGTACAGTTAATCTACGTATCTATCAACATGGTCTCTAATGAGCTTGTGTTCCATACTAACACTTAGCTGGGTTTTCTTTTCTGTTGGGTAAGAGTTTTTTTGCTACGATTTTTTGTTTTTCAGGCATTCATTCTAAAGGGGCTGAATGCGCCAGCTCAGAGGAGGGAGCTGCAAGACAACGACTCATTCCATTTGGCATCTTTAGTCATCACAAAATTAGACTGTGATTTCAATTGTTCATGAAACCGTAGAGCACAGCCGTCATGATCTTAATGTTATGGGTTTATTAGAGAGTAGATCAGACCAAGTACAGGCTAGTTAGTTACACACGCACACACTGGCTGCAGCACAGGCACGCACACTGGGTGTTGAACTGTCGGTCTTCCTCTAAGACAGGTGTATACAGCGAGGATGGAGGCAGAGAGCAGACACACTTAGAAGCACACACACACTAACACACCTCCCCCTCACATTCACACACAGACTCAGACATACTCACCTTCCTTACGCTCACTCATGCAAACACACTTTCCCTTCACACACACACACGAAGACTGTCAAACACTTACACACACACCTCTCTGCCACAGACACACATACTGATACAGTGACTCAGAGAGCAGAGGAGAGGGGGCAGAGTGGCCGACTGAGGCTTCAAGGCTTGCTGCTGCTCAGCTGTCAACTGCTACACACACACACACCTCCCTTCACCATCACACTCAGGCAGAAATGACTGCTTCCCCTAATGTCAAGACAGGGCCATGAGTGAGTGGATGGTAGGTGTGTGTGTGGTGCATGCATGTTCTTATAAACGTATTTCTGTTAGTTACACATGTATTGATTGAAACAGACAAGAGCCCATTGTCACCAGTAACAGATCCTGCTGTCTGTGGATGGATGCTCTATATTACTCTACAGCCTTAAACCAACTAGTGTTCTCTCTCCTCTGACGGCCCGTTCCAGCCCCCAACACACATGTGAATTTATATTGTTTTGATCTTCTGTTTTGTTTTGGTTTTATGATTTTTTATTTCCTTTAAGCCATGTTATCAGCATTCCGCACTCTCTCTCTGTCTGAACAGGTAAAAAACAAGGACCCCCCGAAAATCGCAACAAAGGTAACCCCTCCCTCCATCCCTCCCTCCCCCCTTCCATTCAGCAGCAGTCTGGGAGTTTCGTGTCAGTCTTTTCTCTCACTCTCTCCCTCTCTCTCTCATGCTCACGCTTCCCTCCACCTGCTGAAAAGGGGAGGTTCTTCTCGCCTCGCTTTACCTGTGAATGGATGCAACTCTCACCCGCCACTGGCCACAGAGAGAGAATTGTGGTTAGCCGTCAATGCTACTATTGTAGACAGATATCCATCTCAAAGCTACCTAGGGTTAGCATTCAGCGCTACTGTTGTAGACTATATCCTTCAGAGCTATGAGGGGTTAGTATAACACAACTGTAGTCAACCCTTATCCCTCACAGAGCTTCCCAGGGTTATCCTTCTTTATCCTTCTGTTGTAGACTACTACAGGTATATCTGTCTGGGAAGCTCTGTGAGGGATAAGGGTTGACTACAGTTGTGTTATACTAACCCTATATGGGGTTAAAATAGCACAAGAACTCCAGTAAAGTTGTATTTCCTTCTAGAGCTAAATGGGGTTAGCTTTACCTTGCTCACAGAGCTGCTAAAGGGTTAGTTCTACTAACCCCATATAATAAGTTGCACCAACTTCACATGCTATGTTTAGATGGACACCCGGGGTGTTGTAGCTCCTGCAGCTTGCCTGGCCTGGACAGGTCCACCCTCCATGTGGTGTGTCGTCCAGAACTCATCCAAGCGGTCTACCCCCCCCCCCCCCCCCCCCCCCCCCCCCTCACAGACCCTCCCCAGCCCTCCTGCCCTCTCCTCTCTCCTTCCCCTTGCCCTTGGACTTTATCACTAGTAAACAGCTTCTCTCGTCTCTAGCATGGAGTGGTAGCTAATGCTAGAGTAAAAGTCTGCTAAATGGCATATTATTTATATTATTATTAAAAGAACATTAAATTAATTGGGACAGGTTGACTCGACCTACATTCACAACAGGAAATATATATTCTGAAAACGTCCACATACTGATTTTAATTCAGTAGTTTACCCAGTGTAGTAGCTTTATGGACGCCATGTAATCTCTGGCTCCTGAGAGGAAATGGAATAGGAGTGGTAGGACCCCTGATATCATGTTTCAGGGTCTGGGAATTTGGTAATCGTTTTTGGGTTTAGTTTAAAAAAGAAGGGATCTAAACAGATTTATAATAGACATTCTATCTAGAATTATAATATAAATTCTACTATTCTATCTATCTAAAGCTAACTCCAGAACTAGGGTCTAGGGATTAGGGAGACTGTACTAACTCTGGGAAGTGGCTCAGTGTGGGAGTTGCACCCTGACATTATCAATGGGCTGTGGATTGTTGTCTGTTCTGTTTTTGTATTCTGTTTCTTTTCTCTCACTGTTGCCTCTTTCCAGGATGTTGCTCAGGACCTCATGCTGTCTCGTACTCTCTTCTCGCGATCACTGTTTGACGCTACCTCTCTTTCCTTATTTTTCTCTGTCTCTTTCGCAAATAAAAACTACCTCTGGAGATGTGCAACCTCCTCTTCTACCTCCTCCTCCTTTTCTTTTTGTGGTGGTTGTATCTCTCTGCTTTGTTTTTTTGTTCTCTTTTATTCAGTTTGTCAGTATCTTTGTTTGAGTTAATTTTTTTTGGTAACACACTCGCCCCCCCCCCTCTTCGTCGTGGTCCGTGCTGCGTCTGTAAGTGCTGTGCATCCGTCAGTGAGTCAGTCCGCCCGTGCATCAGTCTGCCAGTCCAGTCAGTGTGTGGCTGTGTTCAGTCTGATGGGTCTGGTCTAATGGGTTTTATGTTGGGACTGGTGGCCTACTCTGAGGGGTGGCAGAGTCACTATGTTCAATACAAGGGACTTCATATACAGACATTTTAGGAGTGTGAGAAAAAAACATGACAGCAAAAATGACATAGTACCAGTCAAAAGTTTGGACACACCTACTCATTCAAGGGTTTTTCTTTATTAAAAACTATTTTTTACATTGTAGAATTATAGTGAAGACATCAAAAATATGAAATAACACATATGAAATCATGTAGTAACCAAAAAAAGTGTTAAACAAATCAAAATATATTTTATATTTTCGTTTCTTCAAATAGCCACCCTTTGCCTTGATGACAGCTTGGCACACTCTTGGCAGTCTCTCAATCAGCTTCACCTGGAATGCTTTTCCAACAGTCTTGAAGGAGCTCCCATGTATGCTGAGCACTTGTTGGCTGCTTTTCCTTCACTCTGCCATCCGACTCATCCCAAACCATCTCAATTGTGTTGAGGTCTGGGGATTGTGGAGGCCAGGTCATCTGATGCGGCTCTCCATCACTCTCCTTGTTGGTAAAATAGCCCTTACACAGCCTGGAGGTGTGTTGGGTCATTTTCCTGTTGAAAAACAAATGATAGTCCCACTAAGCCCAAACCAGATGGGATGGCGTATCGCTGCAGAATGCTGTGGTAGCCATGCTGGTTAAGTGTGCCTTGAATTCTAAATAAATCACAGACAGTGTCACCAGCAAAGCACCCCCACACCATAACACCTCCTCCTCCATGCTTTACGGTGGTAACTACACATGCAGAAATCATCCGTTCACCCACACCCCGTCTCACAAAGACACAGCGGTTTGAACAAAACATTTCCAATTTGGACTCCAGACCAAAGGACACATTTCCACCGGTCTATTGTCCATTGCTTGTGTTTCTTGGCCCAAGCAGGTCTCTTCTTCTTATTGGTGTCCTTTAGTAGTGGTTTCTTTGCAGTAATTCGACCATGAAGGCCTGATTCACACAGTCCCCTCTGAACAGCTGATGTTGAGATGTCTCTATGAACTTATCCTCTGCAGCAGAGGTAAATCTGGGTCTTACATTCCTGTGGCGGTCCTCATGAGAGCCAGTTTCATCATAGCGCTTGATGGTTTTTGCGACTGCACTTGAAGAAACTTTCAATGTTCTTGAAATGTTCCGTATTGGCTGACCTTCATGTCTTAAAGTAATGATGGACTGTCGTTTCTCTTTGCTTATTTGAGCAGTTGTTGCCATAGTATGGTCTTGGTCTTTTACCAAATAGGGCTATCTTCTGTATACCCCCCCTACCGTGTCACAACACAACTGATTGGCTAAAATGCATTAAGAAGGAAAGAAATTCCACAAATTAACTTTTAAGAAGGCACACCTGTTAATTGAAATGCATTCCAGGTGACTACCTCATGAAGCTGGTTGAGAGAATTTCAAGAGTGTGCAAAGTTGTCATCAAGGCAAAGGGTGGCTATTTGAATAATCTCAAATATAAAATATATTTTGATTTGTTTAACAAATTTTTTGGTTACTACATGCCAAATGTGTTATTTCATAGTTGTGATGTCTTCACTATTATTCTACAATGTAGAAAATAGTAAAAATAAATAAAAACCCTTCAATGAGTAGGTGTGTCCAAACTTTTGACTAGTAGTGTAGGTACAAAATGATCCGACTAGATTGTAAATTGACTGGTGTTGAGTGTTGCATGGGCCACAAATAGAATCCATAGCAATGCATATGACGCTGATTACCATAGAATACTGATATCTTTATTCATCTTTTACTTTAGCACCTTTATTAGACTCACCCTTAGATATTGTGAAGTATTTCTACTGTAAAAGAGACAGAGCTAGAGAACAAACAGAGCAAATATAAGCTATTGAAGTGGTGAAATGCAAATATCTTATTTGCATTTGTAAAACATGACTGAGCTCAGTAGCAGAGATTAAATATGTTCAGTTGACAATCCCCCGCAAAGGAACCATTGTAGAATTTACAACTTGTATCTCGATGTTCTGAATATATTCTCTGTTATACGTATGCTGTAAAACTGTGTCCATAGACTCTTCTTGCCGCATTTCCATGGAGACTTACCCCCACACCAGTGTGTTGCCAGTGTTTTATGTTAATGTTTACTCTAGTGTAATTGTGTGTCCATCTGGAGAGTGACACTAAAGACTTGTGTAGAGCAGAATCACACCCTCTGCATCATCAACACAGTTGCTATGTGAGAAGGTGTTCACAGTTAGCCATTGTTATGTAAATGCAGCTGAAAAGTACCAGTGGCCTGGCTTTGGCCCCAGGTGAGACACGGGTGCCGGCCCGTATAGATGGAAACAGAAAAATCTGAGCCTTTTGGCTGAAACACTGGGGTAAATCCTGTATGGAAATGCGCCATCTGGGACAAGTTGTATAGTGTTAAATTGCTGCTACAAATCAGTTTTGTATAATTAAATCCTTACTTTTATCTCAAGCATTTCCTGAAGAATTCTGTGTTGTGTGTTTACTCTTTCCAATACTTCCCTGTTTTCGTAATGTTTATTTTCTGCATTTTAGTATTTAAACAATCAATCAGTTAATTATTGAGTACTAATTTTACTTTAATGTAGAATAAATCACATTTGCTGAACTCTCCAAACTGACAGCTAACAAATAATAACAGCAGTGTTGATCACATTAAGGGATCTGTTCTGGTTTAAGAGATTAAGTGATCCACAGCTGAGTTGGTTTAGTGGATCACTGCTCAGGACCTGAGTCTGGTGGTCTGGTGACCGTGTTTCTGTCTCTCTTCCAACCGTAACTGAACCACAACCTCTCTGTGTCTCTCTACCCTTCACCCCAACCCCTCCTCGATCCCCCTTCTTCCTGCCTCCTCCTTTTTGGAATGTCTGTTCCTGCTCCTCTCCCCAACCCCCCAAAACCGCACCACCAACCATCTCCAACCTCATATCACTACCCTCTTTACCCTCCCCAAACTTTTCCACCACACTAATTGCCATCCTCCACCTCCCTCTACCCTACCTATTTCCCCATCCCTCTACCCTGTCCCATAGCTAAGACCCAGGACGGCATTGCCCTGGAGATCCAGCCCCTGAAGAGTGAGGTTGAGTCCGAGGAGAAAGAGCCGGAGGTGGAGGTCAAACAGGTGAAGAGGGTTCAGATCACAAAGAAGGAGAAGTCTGTGCTGCAGGGCAAACTCACCAAACTGGCCGTGCTGATCGGGAAGGCAGGTGAGGACGGAGGCAGAGATACACGTATACACAGGCACACATAGAGACACACGCACATACACAGAAAGATAGATACATTTTACACACACACACACACACACACACACACACACACACACACACACACAGACCATGCAGATCGGGAAGGCAGGTACAGTGCCTTGCAAAAGTATTCATCCCCCTTGGCGGTTTTCCTATTTTGTTGCATTACAACCTGTAATTTAAATTGAATTTTATTTGGATTTCATGTAATGGACATACACAAAATAGTCCAAATTGGTGAAGTGAAATTTTAAAAATAACTTGTTTCAAAAAATTCGTACAAAATAAATAACGGAAAAGTGGTGCGTGCATATGTATTGACCCCCTTTGCTATGAAGCCCCTAAATAAGATCTGGTGCAGCCAATTACCTTCAGAAGTCACATAATTAGTTAAATGAAGTCCACCTGTGTGCAATCTAAGTGTCACATGATCTGTCACATGATCTCAGTATATATACACCTGTTCTGAAAGGCCCCAGAGTCTGCAACACCACTAAGCAAGGGGCACCACCAAGCAAGCGGCACCATGAAGACCAAGGAGCTCTCCAAACAGGTCAGGGACAAAGTTGTGGAGAAGTACAGATCAGGGTTGGGTTATAAAAAAATATCCAAAACTATGAAAAAATCTCACAGAGCACCATTAAATCCATTATTAAAAAATGGAAAGAATATGGCACCACAACAAACCTGCCAAGAGAGGGCCGCCCACCGAAACTCACGGACCAGGCAAGGAGGGAATTAATCAGAGAGGCAACAAAGAGACCAAAGATAACCCTGAAGGATCTGCAAAGCTCCACAGCGGAGATTGGAGTATATGTCCATAGTACCACTTTAAGCCGTACACTCCACAGAGCTGGGCTTTACGGAAGAGTGGCCTGAAAAAAGCCATTGCTTAAAGAAAAAAATAAGGAAACACGTTTGGTGTTCGCCAAAAGGCATGTGGGAGACTCCCCAAACATATGGAAGAAGGTACTCTGGTCAGATGAGACAAAAATTTTGCTTTTTGGCCATCAAGGAAAACGCTATGTCTGGCGCAAACCCAACACCTCTCATCACCCCGAGAACACCATCCCCACAGTGAAGCATGGTGGTGGCAGCGTAATGCTGTGGGAATGTTTTTCATCGGCAGGGACTGTGAAACTGGTCAGAATTGAAGGAATGATAGATGGCGCTAAATACAGGGAAATTATTCAGGGAAACCTGTTTCTGTCTTCCAGAGATTTGAGACTAGGACGGAGGTTCACCTTCCAGCAGGACAATGACCCTAAACATACTGCTAAAGCAACACTCGAGTGGTTTAAGGGAAAACGTTTAAATGTCTTGGAATGGCCTAGTCAATGCCCAGACCTCAATCCAATTGAGAATCTGTGGTATGACTTAAAGATTGCTGTACACCAGCGGAACCCATCCAGCTTGAAGGAGCTGGAGCAGTTTTGCCTTGAAGAATGGGCAAAAATCCCAGTGGCTAGATGTGCCAAGGTTATGGAGACATACCCCAAGAGACTTGCAGCTGTAATTGCTGCAAAAGGTGGCTCTACAAAGTATTGAATTTGGGGGGTTGAATAGTTATGCAAGCTCAAGTTTTCTGTTTTTTTGTCTTATTGTTTGTTTCACAATAAAAAATATGTTGCATCTTCAAAGTGATAGGCATGTTGTGTAAATCAAATGATACAAACCCCCCAAAATCCATTTAAATTCCAGGTTGTAAGGCAACAAAATAAGATATGCCAAGGGGGGTGAATACTTTCGCAAGCCACTGTAAGAACAGAGAAGGTCTTAAAAACATTAGGACCCTGACACACGTACACACAGGTGTGCATACAGATGTAGGATCTTAGTTTGAGGCAGTTTGCTACAGCAGGAAAATAATCCTGCAGCAACAGGAAATGTGAATTGTTATGTGGCTTTTAATGAATGGACATTTTTGTAGGGGTTAAAAAAAATTTCGTATGGGAAAATCAAGTCTGAAATTTCGAAGTGGAAATTACAAACTTCAGAAGCCTTTTTAAACCTCAAATACACTACAAGTTTAAGATGTCCTCCTGCAGCAGGGTGATCAAATTAAGGTCCTACATTGGTCCTCTGTAGCTCAGCTGGTAGAGCACGGCGCTTGTAACGCCAGGGTAGTGGGTTCGATCCCCGGGACCACCCATACACAAGAAAAAAATTTATGCACGCATGACTGTAAGTCGCTTTGGATAAAAGCGTCTGCTAAATGGCATATTATTATTATATTATATTATTACATGCCTGCTCCTGGATTTGACTGCCAGATAGCAACAGTCTACTTTGTTTCATTTGCCCAGGTCTGATCATGTCAGCAGTGACGGTGATCATTCTCATTCTGTACTTCGTGATCGACACATTCGGGGTGCAGGGTCGCCCATGGCTGAAGGAGTGTACCCCCATCTACATCCAGTACTTTGTCAAGTTCTTCATCATCGGAGTCACTGTGCTGGTGGTGGCTGTGCCTGAGGGGCTGCCTCTAGCCGTCACCATCTCTCTGGCCTACTCTGTCAAGGTACACACAAACCAACACACACACACAGTGCTGGTAGTGGCAGTGCCAGAGGGGCTGTTGCTAGCTGCCATCATCTCCCAGACTTACTCTGTCAGGGTACACACACACACAGCACTGACCTCTACGTGTCCCCTGTATAGAAAATGATGAAAGACAATAACCTGGTGCGTCACCTGGATGCGTGTGAGACCATGGGGAACGCTACGACCATCTGCTCCGACAAGACGGGCACCCTCACCATGAACCGTATGACCGTGGTGCAGGCCTACTTGGGAGACACACACTACAAGAAAGTACCGGAACCCGACGTCATCAAACCATCCACACTGGAGGTCCTGGTCAACAGCATCGCCATCAACTCAGCCTATACTACTAAGATCCTGGTGAGTGAGAGAGATAGAGAGAGTGAGTGAGTGAGAGAGAGTGGGTGAGAGAGTGAGTGAGAGAGTGAGTGAATGAGTGAGAGGCACACACAAAAATAGCAGAAATTGAACGAGCAATCACGATAAACCTTCACCGCTCACACATGCAAACACACACACACACACACACAAATCCTTACCTGAGGCACTTGAAGCACACGCTAATTTCGTCCCAGTCTTCAGTAAAGATGGTCCATAATGGCATTCCAGAAACATGATGCTGCTTTCCATCCATTCATTCATCAGCTCATCAATACCACCAGGTAATCACATAAGACTGAAGACACAGGCTTTCACTAGCCCTTAGGAGAATCCGTCACTCATCTTTGCTCGTTCCATGGACCATAGCGCCTCAATTTGGATCTTCATGACGTCTCTATGCAGTGTGTGCACATCCTTACAAATGCATCTTCTTCTCTAGTGAATATCTTCATGGTTGCTTTTACACTCTGTATGATGCATATCTCAATGTTCCTTTTACTGTATGCCTTCTTCATGAAATATACATGTTTGTAGCATACGGTATGTAGGGTGTGTGTAAAATGTTGTTTGTTACTCCAGTCACCAGAGAAGGAGGGAGGTCTGCCCCGCCACGTTGGCAACAAGACAGAGTGCTCCCTATTGGGCTTCGTGCTGGAGCTGAAGAGGGACTACCAGCCAATCAGGGAAGAGATTCCTGAGGAGAAGCTGTACAAGGTATGTAGCTGCTTCAAAATGTATCAATGAAGTTAAAGGTGCAATCTGTAACTTATATAAATTATATATGTGTGTTCTGTGTGGCTCCAAGACGAAATGTACAAATAACATACTGCCCATTTTTCCTACAGCGAGCTAACTTATACACAAACTTCTGTACTATAGTAATATAGCATATTGTGATAATATGGTAGTTATAACTAACTGAGTGGTCTGTTTCCAGGTGTACACCTTCAACTCATCCCGTAAGAGCATGAGCACAGTGCTGAAGAACACTGATGGTAGTGGCTTTCGCATGTACAGCAAGGGAGCCTCCGAGATCGTCCTACGCAAGTACGGAAGGGAGGGGGAGGGAGGGATTGGTCATATATTTAGTTGATGAATGGATACACAGAGATAGACATACAGAAATATGGAGTTGATCGTCTGTGATGTGATGATACTTTATGAGAGAGTTGGCAAACATATCTCCTCCTTCACTCCTCCCCCTCCTATCTCTTCTCTCACCCTCCCCTCATCTTCCTTCCCTCCTTGCCCTCTAGATGTTCCCGTATCCTGGACATCAACGGGGAGCCACGTATCTTCAAGCCTAAGGACCGTGATGAGATGGTGAAGGTGGTGATTGAGCCCATGGCCTGTGACGGTCTGAGGACCATCTGTGTGGCCTACAGGGACTTCCCTGCTGAGGCAGGAGAACCAGACTGGGACAACGAGGCCGATATCCTCAACGAGCTCACCTGCATCTGTGTGGTCGGCATCGAGGACCCCGTCAGACCTGAGGTGAGACATGGACAGACTCATTCAACCTGAACAAAACAAGCTCTGGTGGACACTCTACCTGATCAGAAAGTGCATATATACAGTGAGGGAAAAAAGGTATTTGATCCCCTGCTGATTTTGTACGTTTGCCCACTGACAAAGAAATGATCAGTCTATAATTTTAATGGTAGGTTTATTTGAACAGTGAGAGACAGAATAACAACAAAAAAATCCAGAAAAATGCATGTTATGAATTGATTTGCATTTTAATGAGGGAAATAAGTATTTGACCCCCTCTCAATCAGAAAGATTTCTGCCTCCCAAGTGTCTTTTATACAGGTAACGAGCTGAGATTAGAGCACACTCTTAAAGGGAGTGCTCCTAATCTCAGTTTGTTACCTGTATAAAAGACACCTGTCCACAGAAGCAATCAATCAATCAGATTCCAAACTCTCCACCATGGCCAAGACCAAAGAGCTCTCCAAGGATGTCAGGGACAAGATTGTAGACCTACACAAGGCTGGAATGGGCTACAAGACCATCGCCAAGCAGCTTGGTGAGAAGGTGACAACAGTTGGAGCGATTATTCGCAAATGGAAGAAACACAAAAGAACTGTCAATCTCCCTCGGCCTGGGGCTCCATGCAAGATCTCACCTTGTGGAGTTGCAATGATCATGAGAACGCTGAGGAATCAGCCCAAAACTACACGGGAGGATCTTTTCAATGATCTCAAGGCAGCTGGGACCATAGTCACCAAGAAAACAATTGGTAACACACTACGCCGTGAAGGACTGAAATCCTGCAGCGCCCGCAAGGTAACCCTGCTCAAGAAAGCACATATACAGGCCCGTCTGAAGTTTGCCAATGAACATCTGAATGATTCAGAGGAGAACTGGGTGAAAGTGTTGTGGTCAGATGAGACCAAAATTGAGCTCTTTGGCATCAACTCAACTCGCCGTGTTTGGAGGAGGAGGAATGCTGCCTATGACCCCAAGAACACCATCCCCACCGTCAAACATGGAGGTGGAAACATTATGCTTTGGGGGTGTTTTTCTGCTAAGGGGACAGGACAACTTCACCGCATCAAAGGGACGATGGACGGTGCCATGTACCGTTAAATCTTGGGTGAGAACCTCCTTCCCTCAGCCAGGGCATTGAAAATGGGTTGTGGAAGGATATTCCAGCATGACAATGACCCAAAACACACGGCCAAGGCAACAAAGGAGTGGCTCAAGAAGAAGCACATTAAGGTCCTGGAGTGGCTTAGCCAGTCTCCAGACCTTAATCCCATAGAAAATCTGTGGAGGGAGCTGAAGGTTTGAGTTGCCAAACGTCAGGCTCGAAACCTTAATGACTTGGAGAAGATCTGCAAAGAGGAGTGGGACAAAATCCCTCCTGAGATGTGTGCAAACCTACAAGAAAGGTCTGACCTCTGTGATTGCCAACAAGGGTTTTGCCACCAAGTACGAAGTCATGTTTTGAAGAGGGGTCAAATACTTACAGTGGGGGAAAAAAAGTATTTAGTCAGCCACCAATTGTGCAAGTTCTCCCACTTAAAAAGATGAGAGGCCTGTAATTTTCATCATAGGTACACGTCAACTATGACAGACAAAATGAGAAAAAAAATCCAGAAAATCACATTGTAGGATTTTTCATGAATTTATTTGCAAATTATGGTGGAAAATAAGTATTTGGTCAATAACAAAAGTTTCTCAATACTTTGTTATATACCCTTTGTTGGCAATGACACAGGTCAAACGTTTTCTGTAAGTCTTCACAAGGTTTTCACACACTGTTGCTGGTATTTTGGCCCATTCCTCCATGCAGATCTCCTCTAGAGCAGTGATGTTTTGGGGCTGTTGCTGGGCAACATGGACTTTCAACTCCCTCCAAAGATTTTCTATAGGGTTGAGATCTGGAGACTGGCTAGGCCACTCCAGGACCTTGAAATGCTTCTTACGAAGCCACTCCTTCGTTGCCCGGGCGGTGTGTTTGGGATCATTGTCATGCTGAAAGACCCAGCCACGTTTCATCTTCAATGCCCTTGCTGATGGAAGGAGGTTTTCACTCAAAATCTCACGATACATGGCCCCATTCATTCTTTCCTTTACACGGATCAGTCGTCCTGGTCCCTTTGCAGAAAAACAGCCCCAAAGCATGATGTTTCCACCCCCATGCTTCATAGTAGGTATGGTGTTCTTTGGATGCAACTCAGCATTCTTTGTCCTCCAAACACGACGAGTTGAGTTTTTACCAAAAAGTTCTATTTTGGTTTCATCTGACCATATGACATTCTCCCAATCCTCTTCTGGATCATCCAAATGCACTCTAGCAAACTTCAGACGGGCCTGGACATGTACTGGCTTAAGCAGGGGGACACGTCTGGCACTGCAGGATTTGAGTCCCTGGCGGCGTAGTGTGTTACTGATGGTAGGCTTTGTTACTTTGGTCCCAGCTCTCTGCAGGTCATTCACTAGGTCCCCCCGTGTGGTTCTGGTATTTTTGCTCACCGTTCTTGTGATCATTTTGACCCCACGGGGTGAGATCTTGCGTGGAGCCCCAGATCGAGGGAGATTATCAGTGGTCTTGTATGTCTTCCATTTCCTAATAATTGCTCCCACAGTTGATTTCTTCAAACCAAGCTGCGTACCTATTGCAGATTCAGTCTTCCCAGCCTGGTGCAGGTCTACAATTTTGTTTCTGGTGTCCTTTGACAGCTCTTTGGTCTTGGCCATAGTGGAGTTTGGAGTGTGACTGTTTGAGGTTGTGGACAGGTGTCTTTTATACTGATAACAAGTTCATACAGGTAACGAGTGGAGGACAGAGGAGCCTCTTACAGAAGAAGTTACAGGTCTGTGAAAGCCAGAAATCTTGCTTGTTTGTAGGTGACCAAATACTTATTTTCCACCATAATTTGCAAATAAATTCATTAAAAAACCTACAATGTGATTTTCTGGATATTTTTTTCTCAATTTGTCTGTCATAGTTGACATGTACCTATAATGAAAATTACAGGCCTCTCTCATCTTTTTAAGTGGGAGAACTTGCACAATTGGTGGCTGACTAAATACTTTTTTCCCCCACTTTAAATGCAAATCAATTCATAACATTTTTGACATGCGTTTTTCTGGATTTGTTTGTTGTTATTCATTCTTTCACTGTTCAAATAAACCTACCATTCAAATTATAGACTGATCACGTCTTTGTCAGTGGGCAAATGTACAAAATCAGCAGGGGATCAAATCCTTTTTTCCCTCACTGTGTGTGTGTGTGTGTGTGTATATATATATATATATATATATATATATATATATATATATATATATATATATATATATATATATATATATATACAGTGCCTTCAGAATGTATTCAGACCCCTTGACTTTTCCACATTTTGTTACATTACAGCCTTATTCTAAAATGGATTAAAAAATAAAAACTTATCCTCAATCTACACACAATACCCTATAATGACAAAGTGAAAACGGGTTTTTAGAAATGTTTGCAAATTTATAAAAAAAAAAAAACGGAAATACCTTATTTACATAAGTATTCAGACCCTTTGCTATGAGACACGAAATTGAGCTCGGGTGCATCCTGTTTCCATTGATCATCCTTGAGATGTTTCTACAACATGATTGGAGTCCACCTGTGGTAAATTCAATTGATTGGACATAATTTGGAAAGGCACACACCTGTCTATATAAGGTCCCACAGTTGACAGTTCATGTCAGAACAAAAGCCAAGCCATGAGGTTGAAGGAATTGTCCGTAGAGCTCCGAGACAGGATTGTGTCAAGGCACAGATCTGGGGAAAGGTAACAAAAAATGTCTGCAGGTCCCCAAGAACACAGTGGCCGCCATCATTCCTAAATAGAAAAAGTTTGGAACCACCAAGACTCTTCCTAGAGCTGGCCGCCCGGCCAAACTGAGCAATTGGGGGAGAAGGGCCTTGGTCAGGGAGGTGACCAAGAACCCAATGGTCACCCTGACAGAGCTCTAGAGTTCCTCTGTGGAGATGGGAGAACCTTCCAGAAGGACAACCATCTCTGCAGCACTCCACCAATCAGGCCTTTATGGTAGAGTGGCCAGACGGAAGCCACTCCTCAGTAAAAGGCCCATGACAGCCTGCTTGGAGTTTGTCAAAAGGCACCTATAGACTCTCAGACCATGAGAAACAAGATTCTCTCGTCTGATGAAACCAAGATTGAACTCTTTGGTCTGAATGCCAAGCGTCACGTCTGGAGGAAACCTGGCACCATCCCTACCGTGAAGCATGGTGGTGGCAGCATCATGCTGTGGGGATGTTTTTCAGTGGCAGGGAGACTAGTCAGGATCGAGGCAAAGATGAACAGAGCAAAGTACAGAGAGATCCTTGATGAAAACCTGCTCCAGAGCGCTTAGGACCTCAGACTGGGGCGAAGGTTAACCTTCCAACAGGACAACGACCTTATGCACACAGCCAAGACAATGCACGAGTGGCTTCGGGACAAGTCTCTGGATGTCCTTAAGTGGCCCAGCCAGAGTCCAGACTTGAACCCAATCGAACATCTTTGGAGAGACCTGAAAATAGCTGTGTTCTTGGGGACCTCTCTGAGAGGATCTGCAGAGAAGAATGGGAGAAACTCCCCAAAGTACTGAGTAAAGGGTCTGAATACTTATGTAAATGTTATTTTTTATAAATTAGCAAAAAAATCTATTATTATGGGGTATTGTGTGCAGATTGATTGGGGGGGGGGGGTGTAATCAATTTTAGAATAAGGCTGTAACCTAACAAAATGTGGAAAAAGTCAAGAGGTCTGAATACTCTCCGAAGGCACTGTACCAGTCAAAAGTTTGGAGAAACCTACTCGTTCAAGGGTTTTTCTTTATTTTTACTATTTTCTACAGTCGTGGTCAAAAGTTTTGAGAATGACACAAGTATTGGTCTTCACAAAGTTTTCTGCTTCAGTGTTTTTAGATATTTATGTCAGATTTTACTATGGAATAATGAAGTATAACTACAAGCATTCCATAAGTGTCAACGGCTTTTATTGACAATTACATTAAGTTTATGTAGTTACCCTTCTTTTTCAAGACCGCTGCAATCCGCCCTGGCATGCTGTCAATTAACTTCTGGGCCACATCCTGACTGTTGGCAGCCCATTCTTGCATAGTCATTGCTTGGAGTTTGTCAGAATTTGTGGGTTTTTGTTTGTCCGCCCGCCTCTTGAGGATTGACCACAAGTTCTCAATGAGAGTAAGGTCTGGGGAGTTTCCTGGCCATGGACTCAAAATGTCGGTGTTTTGTTCCCCAAGCCACTTAGTTATCACTTTTGCCTCATGGCAAGGTGCTCCATAATGCTGGAAAAGGCATTGTTCGTTGGGAGAAGTTGCTCTCGGAGGATGTGTTGGTACCATTCTTTATTCATGGCTGTGTTCTTAGGCAACATTGTAAGTGAGCCCACTCCCTTGGCTGAGAAGCAACCCCACACATGAATGGTCTCAGGATGCTTTACTGTTGGCATGACACAGGACTGATGGTAGTGCTCACCTTGTGTTCTCCGGACAAGATTTTTTCCGGATGCCCCAAACAATCGGAAAGGGGATTCATCAGAGAAAATGACTTTACCCCAGTCCTCAGCAGCCCAATCCCTGTACCTTTTGCAGAATATCAGTCTGTCCCTGATGTTTTTCCTGGAGAGAAGTGGCTTCCTCGCTGCCGTTCTTGACACCAGGCCATCCTCCAAAAGTCTTCGCCTCACTGTGCGTGCAGATGCACTCACACCTGCCTGCTGCCATTCCTGAGCAAGCTCTGCACTGGTGGTGCCCCGATCCTGCAGCTGAATCAACTTTAGGAGACGGTCCCGGCGCTTGCTGGACTTTCTTGGGCGCCCTGAAGCCTTCTTCACAACAATTGAATCTCTCCTTGAAGTTGTTGATGATCCGATAAATGGTTGATTTAGGTGCAATCTTACTAGCAGCAATATCCTTGCCTGTGAAGCCCTTTTTGTGCAAAGCAATGATGACGGCACGTGTTTTCTTGCAGGTAACCATGGTTAACAGAGGAAGAACAATGATTTCAAGCACCACCCTCCTTTTAAAGCTTCCAGTCTGTTATTCTAACTCAATCAGCATGACAGAGTGATCTCCAGCCTTGTCCTCGTCAACACTCTCACCTGTGTTAACGAGAGAATCACTGACATGATGTCAGCTGGTCCTTTTGTGGCAGGACTGAAATGCAGTGGATATGTTTTTGGGGGATTAATTTCATTTTCATGGCAAAGAGGGACTTTGCAATTAATTGCAATTCATCTGATCACTCTTAATAACATTCTGGAGTCTTTGCAAATTACCATCATAAAATCTGAGGCAGCAGACTTTGTGAAAATTAATATTTGTGTCATTCTCAAAACTTTTGACCACGACTGTACATTGTAGAATAATAGTGAAGACATCAAAACTATGAAATAGCACATATGGAATCATGTAGTAACCAAGAAAGTGTTAAACAAATCAAAATATAATTTATATTTGAGATTCTTCAAATAGCCACCCTTTGCCTTGATGACTGCTTTGCACACTCTTGGCATTCTCTCAACCAGCTTCACCTGGAATGCTTTTCCAACAGTCTTGAAGGAGTTCCCACATATCTTTTTTCAAAAAAACAAGGACATTTCTAAGTGACCCCAAACTTTTGAACGGAAGCGTATATATATTTTTTGTAGTTGATCCCTTCAGAGCTGATGTTGGATATGGCTGCTTAGATTAGCTGTGTACTATGTTGTGTGGAGGTTGTATGGAGGTTGTCCACAGTATCAGAAATGTTGATAATGAAGCCCAATATACTAGAGGTCTTAATGGACTGTTGTTTGTCAGAATAAGATTCCTCCAAGCCACTGCTGAATGATTTTGTTGATCTGTTAAATTGCCCAGTAAAGAATTATCTGTTTTGGTGCAGTGTGACTCAAACATCTGATCCCCATTTAAATATATTAAATTAGCTCAGGAACCTACTGGCTCCAGTCACATGATATCATATTGACTGCGGAAGTCAATGAGAGGAACAATTTGAAAGCCACTTATAAGAGCATGAGGACCAAGAGCTCTAGACGAGGTATATCTTATAATAAGAGACTGGGTGCATATGACACTGATATCAACAATGTATCAAATTAAATTGTTCAAATAAGTGTCTTAAGGCCAGTGATCTAAGTTATGCTATGCTGCAATAACTGCAGGCAGCCAGTATCCATACAGAGAGCTGGTGTATGACGGAAAAGCTAATCTGCACACACAGACACATGCACAGTCTCTCTCTCTCACACACTCACACACACACACACACACACACACACACACACACACACACACACACACACACACACACACACACACACTCACTCACACACACACACACACACACACACATACACACACACATATTACACATAAGTGTAGCCTATTGAGTGAGATGAACACTCATGTTCAAACCTCCTCACTCCACTGCTACCCTAGAGGACTGAAATGGCCCTCTTGTCTCCTAAAGAGTCTTCTCTATAGGCCCAGCCAGAGCCTGTAAACCTGCGAATTACAATGTAAATGTAATATCAAGGAGCATTTGGTGCCAATATGGCGGACAGTATGCTGAACCTACTGAGCTCTTGTGAAACTGCATTATGAATCCTGCTGATCCTGAAGAAAAGCTAATACAGTCATTTGAAAGAGTGTGGCTGTGACATATTAGCTAGTTCCTTGGTCCGCCCGACCGCCACTTGCTGTGTCCTTCACGTGACTCACTGATAGTCATTAGAATTTTGAATGTCAAGCAGCAGCAGATAACATAGTGGATGGAAATAGCTTTGTAGCCAGCGGGTGACAGATACTCTACCAGTTCACAATAGGGTTGGAAGGGAAGGGCGGCTAGCTGCTAGCGGAAAGGTACTGTACTGTAGCAGCCATGCTAGGATATTTATAATGGCTGTGCACATTAGCGCTGATATTTACGTGACAGCAGCGTCTCTGAAATGAGCTACTGGTATGTAGAATATTCCATAATATCACCCATTAATTCTGGAGATGAGGCACCCATCATTACCATGATAGATGGGGAAAGAACACCTGTGTCGTTGTATTATTCAAATGCATTACTGAAGGAAAATGCAAAGCCTCAGAGATGTTATGGTTCCGACTAAAGGCCAGAGATGTGGGCAACTGTTCGGGGAACATTGGAGAGTTAGCGATCGTAGGTCTGTGAGTGGATCTTTACATGAGGTGGCCTGCCAGTGCTAGTGTGGGTGCATTCCACCATAGTTGGTCAAAGTAATTTTTTTCTTTAGGGTTCTGTGTTATTGTGGTGGGAGGGTTGTGTAGACAGTGTAGCTACACGTTTAGTGGTTTGTGTGAGGGCAGAGGGGGTGGGGGAAGGGGGTGTGGGGGTTGGGCTCAACAGTGTGATTGACAGGCAGACGTCTATGGGGGGTTTCTGATTATCTATAAATAAGTGATCTGATTGGTCTAATGAGGAGTGACTCATCACATAGCTGAGGGTGGATAATTACAGAAGACTTCACTCAGACACACAGAGAGAGAGAGACTCACACGCACAGCGGGTTGAGAGGTTGCGCTGGAATGAGCAGAAGCTGTCAGGGCATCACACTGTCGTGCTGAGAGAGAGACTAAAATAACCTGCGACACTGTTACTGAGATCAACAGTGGTACAAAATGGAGTAGGGAACGTGTGGAGGGGACTATACATACAGAATACACTCAGATACACACATCTTACACAGACTGATCTGAGATCAGCACTGGTACTATACCAAGGAATGTATTTTAAATTTTTAAGTGGACATATAACTACAAAATACTGGATGAACAATGTCCTTGTAGTGAACTTAAAGTCATGACTCTCTCCTCCCTCCCCTAAAGGTACCTGATGCTATACTCAAGTGCCAGAGGGCTGGCATCACCGTGCGCATGGTTACCGGGGACAACATCAACACCGCCCGTGCCATAGCAACCAAGTGTGGCATCCTGTTGCCGGGCGAGGACTTCCTGTGTCTGGAGGGCAAAGAGTTCAACCAGCTGATCCGTAATGACCAGGGAGAGGTGAGACACACCTCAGGACTTTTATTTTGAAAGGGGGACTTTTATTATGATATATTAGAGGTGAGACCGTCATGGGGGCGTAAATTATGTAGTAATAGTTGTAGTAGTAGTAGAGATGCAGCCCCTCTGACACTGTGTACCCCTGTGCTCTAGGTGGAGCAAGAGCGTCTGGATAAGGTGTGGCCCAACCTGCGTGTGCTGGCTCGTTCCTCTCCCACTGACAAACACACTCTGGTCAAAGGTGGGTTAAAGCTGTCACATATCTCTCCTTTTCTTGTTTTTCCTCCTTTTTCCTTCCAAAAATGTGTCATCTCTTTCATGTGTGATAGACACACAAACACAGTGGACCCAGGGGTCTGTAGCACTGCCACCCCCCTCAGCCTAACCCAGTTCTCTTCAAAGCCTGTTTCATCTCAGTTGGGGGGCAGTGGAGGGGTGGATAGAGAAAGGTACGCGCGAAGTAAGGCTTAATGCAGGTGTGGGTCATGAATATGGAGACTCTTGACTAGAAGACTAACCGAAAGATACACTGAAGTTCTGTCACTGAAAAAGCTAATTAAATGCGAAAAAGTCATTTTCGAAATATTGGGTGGACCGCATTTGTTAGTTAAGTTCATCCCAAAGAATTACATTCCCTGGGTGTCTGTCTCCGTTAATGTGTATACTGCTGTCCTGTGTGTTGAGATCTGAGGGGTGTGGTATTGTTTCTCTCCCTCAGGTATCATGGACAGCACCGTCCTCGAGACGCGACAGGTGGTGGCTGTGACAGGTGACGGAACTAACGATGGCCCCGCCCTGAAGAAGGCTGATGTTGGATTCGCTATGGTAACACACTCCATTCATATCAGTCTGTTTATATGGTTCCCTTGTCACTACTTTCCTTCTTTTTGTACTCCCTCTTAGAGAAAACCTATCAAGTAATTACACTACAGCCATGAAAAGCTCATTTTGCCCAAACCTTATCTCTGCAACTCTCCAATTTACTCCAAAGTGCCTCCATTACGATGGCTGTGTGATTAGACAATAAATCAATAGCGGTAGTAATGCTTGGATAAATCTGTTTATCACCAGACCATCCCCACTACGTTCACATACACTGTACCCTAAGCAGAAAGACCTCTGGGTTTGGGGATTACAGAATGTGTGTGTGTGTGTGTGCGCGCGCGCTACACCCGCAATAACATCTGCTAAATATGTGTATGTGACCAATACAAATTCATTTGATTTGATATTTATTTTGCATCTGATTCTGCCCGTTAATCTGTGTATCTATCTGCGTGCTTGGCAGTCCGTGTCAGTGTGGCGTTGTGAGGAGTGTTGTTTGGGTTGCCAGTCGCCCCTGTGGTTCAGTTAATTCCCAGCCCAATATCATCAGCTTCACATTCATCCAGACTCCCTACCTTCTCCTCCTTAGAGAGATGAACAGCGCCCATTCGACCGCCAAACAGTGGGCTACATGTCCTCGTCGAGCCCGTCACATTAACGGGTAGACCCCACAGCTTGGGTGACTGGTTGTGAATAAATTAGTAACACGGAAGAGGCATTAAAGCCAGGAAGAGCAGTTAATGGTATTGAAGACAATCAGCAAGACATATGCTAGAGACAGAGAGCCAGAGAGAGAGAGACACAGAGAGAGTGAGAGAAAGAGACACATAGAGAGGGGAAATTACCGTTTAAAGAGTCCCACATACAGTGCCTTCGGAAAGTATTCAGACCCCTTGACTTTTTCCACATTTTGTTACATTACAGCCTTATTCTAAAATTGATTAAAAAAAAATGTTCCCTCATCAATCTACACACAATACCCCATAATGACAAAGCAACAAATAAAAACATATAAATAAATGTCAATAAAAATGTGACATTTGTGTAAGTATTCAGACCCTTTGCTCAGAACTTTGTTGAAGCGCCTTTGGCAGCGATTACGGCCTCGAGTCTTCTTGGGTATGACGCTACTAGCTTGGCACACCTGTATTTGGGGAGTTTCTCCCATTCTTCTCTGCAGATCCTCTCAAGCTCTGTCAGGATGGATGGGGAGCTTCGCTGCACGGCTATTTTCAGGTCTCTTCAGAGATGTTAGATCGGGTTCAAGTCCGGGCTCTGGTTGTGCCACTCAAGGACATTCAGAGACTTGTCCCGAAGCCACTCCTACATTGTCTTGGCTGTGTACTTAGGGTCGTTGTCCTGTTGGAAGGTGAACATTCGCCCCAGTCTGAGGTCCTGAGCGCTCTGGAGCAGGTTTTCATCAAGGATCTCTCTGTACTTTTCTCCGTTCATCTTTCCCTCGATCCTGACTAGTCTCCCAGTCCCTGCTGCTGAAAAACTTCCACACAGCATGATGTTGCCACCACCATGATTCTCTGTAGGGATGGTGCCAGGTTTCCTCCAGACGTGACGCTTGGCATTCAGACCAAAGAGTTCAATCTTTGTTTCATCAGACCAGAGAATCTTGTTTCTCATGGTCTAAGAGTCCTTTAGGTGCCTTTTGGCAAACTCCAAGCGGGCTGTCATGTGCCTTTTACTGAGGAGTGGCTTCCGTCTGGCCACTCTACCATAAAGGCCTGATTGGTGGAGTGCTGCAGAGTGTGTTGTCCTTCTGGAAGGTTCTCCCATCTCCACAGCAGAACTCTGGAGCTCTGTCAGAGTGACCATCGGGTTCTTGGTCACTTCCCAGACCAAGGCCCTTCTCCCCCGATTGCTCAGTTTGGCCGGGCGGCCAGCTCTGGGTAGAATCTTGGTGGTTCCAAACTTCTTCCATTTAAGAATGATGGAGTCCGCTGTGTTCTTGGGGACCTTCAATGCTCCAGAAATGTTTTGGTACCCTTCCCCAGATCTGTGCCTCGACACAATCCTGTCTCGTAGCTCTACGGACAATTCCTTCAACCTCATGGCTTGGTTTTTGCTCTGACATACACTCTCATCTGTGGGACCAAATGTAGACTGGTGTAGAAACATCTCAAGGATGATACATGGAAACACCTGAGCTCATAGCAAAGGATCTGAATACTTACGTAAATAAGGTATTTCTGTTTGATATTTTTAATACATTTGCAAACATTTCTAAAAACCTGTTTTCGTTTTGTTATTATGGGGTATTGTGTGTAGATTGATGAGGGGAATTTTTTATTCAATCAATTTTAGAATAAGGCTATAACGTAACAAAATGTGGAAAAAGTTAATGGATCTGAATACTTTCCGAATGCACTGTACCTGTAGATCTTAATGAAATACTCAGTCTTTATATGTAATGAGGAAAATAGACTGAGTTGAACAAAGCTTTGAGGGAAAGAGAAAGAAAATTGAAAGCACATTAATTTAAAATAGAAAGGATAATGATATAGCTCAGGGTGTTATTTGCCCAAAATCTCCTGTGTAGATGAAGGATCGCGGAGAGATGAAATACTTGTTTATAGCTAGCCTTTCTTCTCCAAAGTTAATTGATTCACATGATTGAGAGGAGAAAAGGGCAGATGTCAAAGGGGTGGAATGCAGTGCCAACCTACAATGAAATGCTGGCTGGTTGCTTGTAGGCACGCTAGTTCTTTTCAACAGGACTCAAACTTTGACACTTAACACTGTGGCTAGGTTTCTCACCATCATCCACCTGGCTGATGCACGGCAGCCATTTTGTGCTGAACCGCTAACCACTCAACAGCTGTCAATGATGTAGCTGGTTCATGTCCCTGACTGAATGAAACTGAGGTCACATCTGGCTCAAAATCATGGGTGTTACACATTGGTGGTGGATGAGGTGAGTTCCCCATATAATATAGAGCAGTTGATCTAATGAAACGTGCTACATAAATGCAATTCATAAAAAAAAGGGAATATACATACATTTTTTAACTTGTATTGCGCTTTTCAAAGAATCTCCATGTGCATAAAAAGTAAAACAACCAATGATGGAGATTGAAAGTCTCAGTTGGCTTGGGATTAAGTTTGGGCTGAAAAGGCAGTGGAGGTTCAGTGGAGAGGGCATATGTAAAAACATATGAAAATTATGGAAACCATCACAGATATAAGCATCGTCATTAACCTCATTGTAATCCCCATAGACCTTAAACCCTCCATCTCTGTCTCCTGATAGGGTATTGCCGGTACGGACGTGGCTAAGGAAGCATCAGATATCATTCTGACTGACGATAACTTCACCAGCATCGTCAAGGCTGTGATGTGGGGCCGCAATGTCTACGACAGCATCTCCAAGTTCCTCCAGTTCCAGCTCACTGTCAACGTGGTGGCCGTCATCGTGGCCTTCACTGGCGCCTGCATCACACAGGTAACACACGCACCACTGTCAACATATGGGGATGCTTTAATTTTCTCCCACTCCTATATTTCTCTCTCTCTCCCACCCTGTCTCTATCTATTTTACATTTGAATAATTTAGCAGAGCGACTTACAGGAGAAATTAGGGTTAAGTACCTTGCTTTCATTTAGTCGGCTCAGAGATTCGAACCAGCGACCTTTCGGTTACTGGCCCAACGCTCTTAACCGCTAGCCTAGCTGCCGCCCCTACTCTCTACCATACACTCATGCTTTCTCTCTCTCTATCTATCTCTCTCTCTCTCTCTGTCTCTGTCTCTCTCTCTCCGTCTCTCCGTCTCTCTCTGTCTCTCTGTCTCTGTCTCTCTCTCTCCGTCTCTCTCTCTCTCTCTCTGTCTGTCTCTCTCTCTGTCTCTCTCTCTCTCTCTCTCTCTCTCTCTCTCTCTCTCTCTCTCTCTCTCTCTCTCTCTCTCTCTCTCTCTCTCTCTCTCTCTCTCTCTCTCTCTCTCTCTCTTCCCCCCCCAGGACTCTCCTCTGAAAGCGGTGCAGATGTTGTGGGTTAACCTGATCATGGACACCCTGGCCTCCCTGGCCCTAGCCACCGAGCCCCCCACTGAGTCCCTGTTGCTGAGGAAGCCGTATGGCCGCAATAAGCCCCTAATCTCCCGCACCATGATGAAGAACATCCTGGGTCATGCCGTCTACCAGCTCACAATCATCTTCACCCTGCTGTTCGCTGGTGAGACCATCACACTTTGGAACACATGGAGTTAGACCATACTGGAACACATGGAGTTAGACCATACTGGAACACATGAAGTTAGACCATACTGGAACACATGGAGTTAGACCACACTGGAACACATGGAGTTAGACCATACTGGAACACATGGAGTTAGACCACACTGGAACACATGGAGTTAGACCGCACTGGAACACATGGAGTTAGACCATACTGGAACACATGGAGTTAGACCATACTGGAACACATGGAGTTAGACCGCACTGGAACACATGGAGTTAGACCATACTGGAACACATGGAGTTAGACCGCACTGGAACACATGGAGTTAGACCATACTGGAACACATGGAGTTAGAACTAGTTTATACCAGCTCACCATCATCTTCTCCCTGCTGTTCGCTGGCGAGACTATACTGTCTAAAATACATAGAACACTGGAGAAAATAAGAGTTTGAACTACTAGATACGTGACATTCACTCAACAATGACTGTACATCAAATATCTATGTACTTAGTCTATTTACACTTCAAACATCAATTTGTCACTGTAAAATCGCTTTCTATTGTATGCATTGGTATTGTCCTTCTAAAACGGCCCGGGGCTGGGTTTCCACTTTTATTTTTAAACTTTTAATTTGACAGGGAAGTCATACTGAGACTAGGATCTCTTTTACAGATGAGTCCTGTATAAATACATCAAGCATATACAATATACAAAATTACAAACATATTAAGAAAAACAGACACATTTATCAACATAGAGGTCTCTGGTCGTTTCTCTGAACTGACCATGGGGGACCAGAATATCTCATTTCAGAGATATCTGTGAGCAAAAAAACCTAAAAGCAGTTTTACCCAACTCTGTGGAGATCGACGGGGCCTCTAGTGTTATCCAAGCCTGTGACTGGGTTTGGTAATTTGTAAGTCTACATTTCATTAATGATGATAGATACATAGGAAGTTTCTGCATAAGTGCTTTGTAGATAAACACAAGAAAAAGCTGCTCTCTCCTTACATACAAAGAGGCCCAAAGAAACTTAAACTTCTTCACCAGCTCAGTGACATATTTTTTAAATGACAATTTTGTTTTGTTTGCTTTTAGCACTTACTTTAGATCCAATAGTGACCACTGCAGTGCTAGAAAATGTGATTTCAAATTTGAAAAGGCTTGGCCAACCGATGGAGCAATGGAATACAACACTATATCATCTGCATACAAATTAATATTACACATTTTTACAGCATAGTGGGCCGAGTATCGAATCTTGGGGCAACCCTTTATGTAACTCAAGGAACTCAGATTTGACCACCTCTGTCATTGAGATAATTATGAAACCATCTGCAAGCATCAGTACCGAACCTTATTGAGGACAGTTTATTAAACAGAATAGCATGGTCTACAGCAGGGTTTTCCAAACTCTGTGCTCGGGACCCCAAGGGGAGCACGTTTTGGTTTTTGCCCTAGCACTACACAGCTGATTCAAATATTCAACTAATTATCAAGCTTTGATCATTTTGAATCGGCTGTGTAGTGTTAGGGCAAAAAACTAAATGTGCACCCCTTGGTGTCCCGAGGACCGAGTTTGGTCTACAGTATCAAAAGCTTTTGACAAGTCTACAAACATGGCAGCACAATTCTTTCTAGCATTTAAGGCATTTGTAATATAATTTACAATAAGCATGGTAGCCGTAGTGGTACTATGTTTGGTCTGAATCCAGATTGATTAACATTAAGAATACCATTTACAAATTGTCACCCCTAATGACTTCCTGGTGTCAATAGCTAATAAGGCAGCAATAACGTCTGTTTCTGTGAGTTGCCAAAAAGAAAAACCCTGACTACCATTTCCCAAGTCACGTGAGGTTGACTGATCATCCATCGAGGCAACTGGAGGCTGTATGTGGGAAGAACAGTCAACTGACTGGCCCAGACCAGTATGACCACCATTTCTTTCAAATAAGATATAAGCTGAGATAAAATGCTGACTATAAGCATCACAAATCTTAACTTTTAAAAATAATGACACAGGAGTCTAAAACTACTTGCTTAGGCAGGGAAGTAGAGGAATTACCCCGCTTCAGTGAATTAACGGTTTTACAGAATTTAAAGGGATCACTAACAGAGTCTACCGTAGCTCTAAGGAAGTAGTTTGATTTAAAGGGATCACTAACAGAGTCTACCGTAGCTCTAAGGAAGTAGTTTGATTTGGCCTGTTTAAATGAGGCATTGCACCTTTTTCTCAATTGCCTAAATAGCTGCCAATCAGCTAATGAGCCAGCTTGTCTAGCCTTGACCCAGGCTTGATTTCTTATCAAGAGGTCTGAGAGTACAGGAGAGTACTTTGGATTAGTTTGTTTTTTGACTCTGAGTTGCTTGAAAGGGAGCCGGCCGCGGGAGCCGGCAGCCGGCCGCGACCGGGAGACTCATGGGCGGCGCACAATTGGCCCAGCGTCGTCCAGGGTAGGGGAGGGAATGGCCGGCAGGGATGTAGCTCAGTTGATAGAGCATGGCGTTTGCAACGCCAGGGTTGTGGGTTCGTTTCCCATGGGGGGCCAGTATAAAAAATTTATAAATAATGTATTCACTAACTGTAAGTCGCTCTGGATAAGAGCGTCTGCTAAATGACGTAAATGTAAATGTAAATGTGAAAGGGGCATGCGAGATAAAAAAATGTTTTATCTTCACAATTATACGAGGGTCAGAGTTTTTCAATCTGGTATCTCTAATGCAAGCAATAGGCCAGTGGTCGCTGATATCATTTGCAAAAACACCACTAGCCAAATACTTATGGGGACGATTAGTCAGGATAAGGTCAATCAATGAGGAGTTTGCTAGGTTTTTTACATTAATCCGAGTGGGTTTTGTTATCAGCTGAGTCAAGTTGAACTCAAGACAGATATTCTTAAACTGATCTCAGGCATGTGTAAGCCAATCAAGATTTAGATCTCCTGACACAACCAGTTCTGATACCAGAAAGGGTTTTAAATAATCAGAAATAATACCAACCCCTCTGCTGGGGGGAGGTAGACACATTTTGGGGACAGAGATGCTAAGAGAGCATGATGCCATAAGACTAGATTTTACATAAATGCCCGCCCCTCCCCCCTTTTTTGTCTATCACATCTGAAAATGTTGTTGTCCGCAATGGAAACATCCTTATCCATAATCAAATTATTCAGCCAGGTCTCTGAGATAACCAGAACATCTGGGTTGGTGTCATGCACCCAGACATCTAGAAAGTCTAGTTTAGACATCAGGCTTCACACATTTAAAAAAAAATCTCATAAATCTACCCCATAATGACGAAGCAAAAACAGGTTTTTATAAATTTTAGAAAATGTATAAAACAAACCCCACCTGAAATATCATATTTGCACAAGTATTCAGGCCCTTTACTCAGTACTTTGTTGAAGCACCTTTGGCAGCCTCGAGTCTTCAGGGGTATGACGCTACAAGCTTGGCACACCTGTATTTGGGGAGTTTCTCCCATTCTTCTCTGCAGATCCTCTCAAGCTCTGTCAGGTTGGATGGGGAGCGTCGCTGCACAGCTATTTTCTCTCCAGAGATGTTCGATCGCGTTCAAGTCCGGGCTCTGGCTGGGCCACTCAAGGACATTCAGAGAATTGTCCTGAAGCCACTCTTGTGCTTAGGGTCGTTGTCCTGTTGGATGGTGAACCTTCGGCCCAGTCTGAGGTCCTGAGCGCTCTGGAGCAGGTTTTCATCAAGGATCTCTCTGTACTTTTCTCCGTTCATCTTTCCCTCGATCCTGACTAGTCTCACAGTCCCTGCCGCTGAAAAACATCCCCACAGCATGATGCTGCCACCACAATGCTTCACCGTAGGGATGGTGCCAGGTTTCCTCCAGATGTGACGCTTGGCATTCAGGCCAAAGAGTTAAATCTTGTTTCTCATGGTCTGAGAGTCCTTTAGGTGCCTTTTGGCAAACTCCAAGCGGGCTGTCATGTGCCTTTTACTGAGGAGTGGCTTCCGTCTGGCCACTCTACCATAAAGGCCTGATTGGTGGAGTGCTGCAGAGATGGTTGTCCTTCTGGGAAGTTCTCCCATCTCCACAGAGGAACTCTGGAGCTCTGTCAGAGTGACCATCGGGTTCTTGGTCATCCCCCTGAACAAGGCCCTTTTCCCCCGATTGCTCCGTTTGGCCGGGCGGCCTGCTCTAGGAAGAGTCTTGGTAGTTCCAAACTTCTTCCATTTAAGAAACAGCTCAAGGATGATAAAAAAAACAGGATGCACCTAAGCTCAATTTCGAGTCTCATAGCAAAGGGTCTGAATACTTACGTAAATAAGTTATTTCTGTTTTTTATTTTTAATACATTTGCAAAAAAGTCTAAAAAAACAGTTTTCACTTTGTCATTATGGGGTCTTGTGTGTAGATTGATTATTGGGGTCTTGTGTGTAGTGTTATTTTTTAAAATCTATTTTCGAGTAAGGCTGTAACGTAACAAAATGTGGAAAAAGTCAAGGGGTGTGAATACTTTCCGAATGCACTGCATCTGCAACTTCAACACCAAGTTTAGTTTGTTTGATTTGTAGGGCTAAATCATATATATCATTAACATATAGTGCAAATAAAGTGGGTGAGAGTACGTAAGGGGTTGGAAACCAGCCAGTCCTGAGGTCATTGACCTGAGCCCATTTTAATTAGTCTAAAAGGAAGAAGGTCTCTTCACCCAGTCGAAAGCCTTCTGAAAATCAATAAAACAGGCCAACGTTGGTTCTAGCCCGGACCACTGTGGAGACAGTATAGATGTGGTCTATACGCCCCCTATTCACTTCCATCCATTTTTTGTCCCAGTACCGGGTTACCTTCAGACGGGTCACTTGTGGGGATCGTAGAGCGAAACTGAGAATACCATCTTGTTTGTGAGAGTCGAGTCTTTCCATAGAGGGATCATATTAATGTGTAGCCCAAACCGTTCAGATGCTACAGACAGAAGTTGGCAGATCGGCTGTACCGACTTCAGACGAGTCCCATGACACTTGTGAGGGAACGTTGAGCAAAACAGAGAACACCACCCTGTTCATGAGTCTCATATTTCCATAGAGGGGTCATATTTGTTTGTTGTCTAAAACCGTTCGGACCCTACATACATTTTCATGAAAAGACACATTTTTGTGATGTCTCCTGGTCTGACCAACAACACTGTATCTATGCCACATTCCACCGCAGATGCGGAAGGCCGACATTGGCGGATATGGTGTCTTGAGAGACAGCCCATAGAAAAAAAGATATCTCTAGCTTAAACTGATGGATTTTGATAGGGATTTTTTTATTATGCTAAATTAAAGAGATGTTTACTTAAACAAAAGGTGAATTAAGATCATATATAACTGTTATCCTGTTTGCTCTTCTCCCTCTCCCAGGAGAGAACATCTTCAACATCGACAGTGGGCGTAACGCGCCCCTCCACTCGCCGCCCTCAGAGCACTACACCATTGTGTTCAATGTGTTCGTCATGATGCAGCTATTCAATGAGATCAATGCCAGGAAGATCCACGGAGAGAGGAACGTTTTTGAGGCCATCTACCGTAACCCCATCTTCTGTAGCGTGGTCCTGGGAACCTTCGTCCTGCAGGTACAAACACACATACTGTAGACACACACACACACACGCAGTCATACACACACACACACAGACATAAACTCACACACACACACTTGAACACACACATCACACACGCACATTATTTTATGGGCAAGGCCATTTAGCCTTCAAGAGGTTCTCAATCTGCTAGGGCACCAAGGCCATTAACCAAAATAGACAATTCAATTGATTTGAAAACTGAAAAACACTAGCTATTCTGTGAAGAAAAACATAAGTGTATGTTAATGTATATACATAATTAGCCTACATGTCAAAGTGTAGGTGATATAGCCTATGCTTATTGGCTACAGTCTGTCATGTCCAGACCAATGCTGACATGAGGGAGGTTCCTGAAAATGGAGTCAAACTTTAATTAGACTTTTAATTACATATATATAGGCTAAATGCCAGTCATGTTTGACAAATATAATGTTGGATCATTATTAATATCTAAAGGTTTGATTCTGTCTACATACTTAACGCACTGTTCGTTCTGATAGGAGAGAAAGGCCAGTGCCTGTTGTGCACTGCAACATCACCCACCTTGCAATCTGAGTGGAGGCAGTCAACATTTTGAAATTATTTAACCATAAATGTAGTTGTTTAAAACCTGGACGTTTGTCATTTTATGAGGCATGTCTTACCATGTTCCAACCAAAGGAATGTTAAGGGGATTATTTTATAAACACTTCCTCATATGCCATTGAAACCAGTAGGGCCTATTTCTCTCATGCTTGTTGTTGCGTCTTTAGATCTTCTAAAAAGCATGAGCTGGCGCTCACCGAGTGAAAATTATTTAGTGTAGAGGTGCAGACTAACTGCGAATAAACTGTAAACTATAAAAAATACTTGCACACTATATATATATATATATATATATATATATATATAGATATATATATATATATATATATATAAACTCAGCAAAAAAAGAAACGTCCATTTTTTCAGGACCCTGTCTTTCAAAGATAACTAGTAAAATTCCAAATAACTTCACAGATCTTCATTGTAAAGGGTTTAAACACAGTTTCCCATGCTTGTTCAATGAGCCATAAACAATTAATGAACATGCACCTGTGGAATGGTCATTAAGATACTAACAGCTTACAGACTGTAGGCAATTAAGGTCACGGTTATGAAAACTTAGGACACTAAAGAGGCCTTTCTACTGACTCTGAAAAACACCAAAAGAAAGATGCCCAGGGTCCCTGCTCATCTGCGTGAATGTGCCTTAGGCATGCTGCAAGGAGGCATGAGGACTGCAGATGTGGCCAGGGCAATAAATTGCAATGTCCGTACTGTGAGACGCCTAAGACAGCGCTACAGGGAGACAGGACGGACAGCTGATTGTCCTCGCAGTGGCAGACCACGTGTAACAACACCTGCACAGGATCGGTACATCCGAACATCACACCTGCGGGACAGGTACAGGATGGCAACAACAACTGCCCAAGTTACACTAGGAACGCACAATCCCTCCATCAGTGCTCAGACTGTCCGCAATAAGCTGAGAGAGGCTGGACTGAGGGCTTGTAGGCCTGTTGTAAGGCAGGTCCTCACCAGACATCACCAGCAACAACGTCGCCTATGGGCAGAAACCCACCGTCGCTGGAACAGACAGGACTGGCAAAAAGTGCTCTTCACTGACGAGTCGCGGTTTTGTCTCACCAGGGGTGATCGTCGGATTCGTGTTTATCGTCAAAGGAATGAGCATTACACCGAGGCCTGTACTCTGGAGCGGGATCGATTTGGAGGTGGAGGGTCTTCATGGTCTGGGGCGGTGTGTCACAGCATCATCGGACTGAGCTTGTTGTCATTGCAGGCAATCTCAACGCTGGGCGTTACAGGGAAGACATCCTCCTTCCTCATGTTGTACCCTTCCTGCAGGCTCATCCTGACATGACCCTCCAGCATGACAATGCCACCAGCGATACTGCTCATTCTGTGCGTGATTTCCTGCAAGACAGGAATGTCAGTGTTTACCATGGCCAGCAAAGAGCCCAGATCTCAATCCCATTGAGCATGTCTGGGACCTGTTGGATCCCAGAAATGTCCGGGAACTTGCAGGTGCCTTGGTGGAAGAGTGGGGTAACATCTCACAGCAAGAACTGGCAAATCTGGTGCAGTCCATGAGGAGGAGATGCACTGCAGTACTAAATGCACTTTTGAGAACAGTGTTTTCATTTTAATTGCGTTTTGGAACGTTCACGCTTATAGCCTACTGCCGTGTGCACATTGCTGCGTTTATAATGTGAAGAAATAGTTTATCAACATTTTAAGCTAAACGTTCTGATCTTTTGAATCAGTCTCATTTGCTTTTAAAAGTTTTTTTGGGATGTACAGTGGTTGTATTAATTTGGGATCTATTGCGTCCCACAACTGTCCCAGAGTATGTTTGGAATATTTATTGCACAGAAGAAGAATCTATCCAATAGAAAAGGTCAACTTTTGTACTATGGGGGATGAAAGATTGAGATAGGCTAGTGCTTTTGCTGTTCATTAGGCCTACTCATCTTGTTGGCTGGTGAAAAGAAAACGTGGACAGTTCTTCTAACATCTTCAAAATGCGCTTCATAATTCGATAAGAAGGACTCGCGCCGTTGCATCCCTGATGTGTCTGTCTTCACTTGTAGCCTACTTCGGAGCTGAGATGCCTGTGAGAAGTACCCGATCACGTGACGGGCATTGGCTAATAATAATTGCGATATCTGAGAGAGCCATGTGAGTGAGGGGTGCTTCGGAGTAGGCTACGGTGATTTGCTGCCAGGAGAAGTGAATTATAATTATTATATTTAGCCCAAGGGAACAACGGTCACTTTGGCCACAAGGCATACATTTTTTTAGAGGGCATTACGGCCACACAAGGGGGCATCGATGGCCATGGCCGCCGATGCCACTGGGAAAGTCGAGACATGCCATAACCCCATCTTCGTTAGTATGATGTGTGGCAGCTTGGTTCTACAGGTACTCACTCTGTGGCTCTGTCTCAGATTGTCATTGTCCAGTTTGGAGGGAAGCCCTTCTCCTGCACGGCTCTGACCATTGACCAGTGGCTCTGGTGTGTGTTCATCGGAGTGGGAGAGCTGCTTTGGGGACAGGTAAGACACACAAACACTCACTCACACATATTTAAAATCTCTTCAGCTCCGTGCTTGTGTGCGTGTGGGTGTGTGGCTGTGGTGTGCGTGTGTGGCTGTGGTGCGTGTGTGTGTGCGTGTGCGTGTGTGAAGAAGCTGGTACAGTAGGTGCCAGTGAACTCTTGCTATGCTTAGACGGGTTCTGGAACACAAAGCAGCCGTGTTCCATGGTTACCGTCACAACAGTCACCGTGGTAATGAGCGCTGGCGCACATAAAAGCAGCACTGCCCACATTTACCTGCACCCCAGAGGACGAGAACCCAGCACGATACTCCCTCTGCGACTACACTCGCGCACACACACACACATGTTCAAAGACACATGCACACACACTTCTCCCTCTGCACACACACGTTGGAAGACACACACACTTTTCCCTTAGCACCTACACACTCACACACACACACACAAACACAAAATCCTACACTTGCCCACACACACACACACACACTCAAAGGCATACATATAGAGAAAGAGATCTCATACTGTGTATTGACAGGTACCCATACCCTTAAAGACAAGCTTCCCCACACAGACAGTTGTCTGAGTTCAGGTAGGAGGTAGAGAGAGAACGATCTCTGTAAACCATGTAGAACAAGCTACTGTCTGTCTCTCTGTATCAACCTATAACATTACATCTAGGATGATGGCCTCCAGCGAGTGTGTGTGCGGGTGTGTGCGTGTGCACGTGCGTTTGTGTGTGTGGGAGTCTTTGACAGCATAACCATTCAAAGGTGACTAAATGAGTTTGAGTCATCATGACTTGTTACATAAGTGTCCCGTGTTTGAAATGCAGACAAGAGAACATAACACACACACATCAGTATCTATACCTCCACCCCAAGGAATGGTACAGCAAGGGAGTTTACCATCCTTCTTCCGACACCACAGTTTGTTATAGGGTGCCATTTGGGATGCAGCCTCAGTCTGTTGGGTTCAGTGCTGGGGCATGCTGGTTATGCAACTGTCTGTTCAGCCAATCCAGGTCTTCGAAACAGTCACATGAGGACAAACTGGCAACCACCAAATTAAGTAGAGCCATTCAATATAAATAGTTATGTGTGTGTGTGTATCTCCATGCTCGCAATACCATAGAATAACAGTATTTTAATAGGATCTCTGTGGGCAATCCTCTCTTTAGTCTGGGCCTGAGAAATGACCTTGCATTCACTTCAGATCCTGAAGGGAATTGATAAGGCAAACTAATCACTGGGCGAACTAGAGGGCATTGACTGAATTAATTAATTTCTAACCATGAATGTAATTATGAGTTAGTGAACCGATATAAGTTCACATGAACAGTTATTAATGCATGTGATAGCCTGCCAAGAAATATGATGCGAGAAAAAACCACTGGAGCTTTTACATACAGATCAGATGAGGTGTTAATTTCAGGTCAGAGCTCTTTAATAGTATACTGCAGAGGTGTGTGTGTGTGTGTGTGTGTGCGTGCGCGCATGTGTGTATGGGAGTCTTTGAAAGCATAATCATTCAGTTTTGACTAAATTAATTTGAGTCATCATGACTTCTTACATAAGTATTTAGTATGTAGTATTTTATTAGGATCCCTATTAGCTACTGCTAAAGCATTACATAAGTGTACCGTGTTTGAAATGCAGACAAGAGAACCTAACACACACACAGCACCACATTACCATAGTATCTATACCTCCACCCCAAGGAATGGTACAGCAAGAACGTTTTTCCATCATTTTCCTGACACCACAGTTTGTTTCAGGACTGCATCCCAAATGGCACCTTATTCTCTCCCTATGTGGTGCACTATATAAGGAATATGGTGCCATTTCGGATGCAACCTCAGTCCGTTGGGTTCAGTGTTGGGGCATTCTGCTTAGTCAACTCTCTGCTCAGCCAATCCATGTCTTAGAAACATTCACATGAGGACAAACTGGTTGGCAACCACATAATTAAATAGAACCATTCAATAGAAATAGTCATGAATATGTATCTCTATTCAACACCATAGAATTATAGTCATTTAATGGGATCTCTGCTTTCACTTCAGATCCTGAAGGGAATTGATAAGGTGAACTAATCACTGAGAGAACTAGAGGGCGTGGACTGAATTAATTAATTTCGAACCATGAATTTAATTATGAGTTAGTGAACCGATATAAGTTCACATGAAGAGTTATTAATGCATGTGATAGCCTGCCAAGAAATATGATGCGAGAAAAAACCACTGGAGCTTTTACATACAGATCAGATGAGGTGTTAATTTCAGGTCAGAGCTCTTTAATAGTATACTGCAGACATGGAATACTAGAATGGACATGAACCTTCTTATGATGGTATAAAAGGTCAGCCCTATTCTACTGCCAATGTTTGTCTATGGAGATTGCATGGCTGTGTGCTCGATTTTATGTACCTGTCAACAAAGGTGTTCCTGAAATAGCTGAATCCACTAATTTGAAGGGGTGTCTACATACCTTTGTATATATGTGGACACCCCTTCAAGTTAGTGGATTCGGCTAGTTCAGCCACACCCGTTGCTGAGAGGTGTATAAAATCGAGCGCACAGCCATGCAATCTCCATAGACAAACATTGGCAATAGAATGGCCTTACTGAAGAGCTAAGTGACTTTCAACAGGGCACAGTCATAGGATGCCACCTTTCCAACAAGTCAGTTTGTCAAAATTCTGCCCTGCTAGAGCTGCCCCGGTCAACTGTAAGTGCTGTTATTGTGAAGTGGAAATGTCTAGGGGCAACAACGGCTCAGCCGCGAAGTGGTAGGCCACACAAGCTCACAGAACGGGACCGCTGAGTTCTGAAGTGTGTAGCACGTAAAAACCGTCTGTCCTCGGTTGCAACACTCACTACCGAGTTCCAAACTGCCTCTGGAAGCAACGTCAGCGTAAGAACTGTTCGTCGGGAGCTTCATGAAATTTCCATGGCCGAGCAGCCGCACGCAAGCCTAAGATCACCATGCGCAGTGCCAAGCGTCAGATTGAGTGGTGTAAAGCTTGCCGCCATCACGCTTCACCATCTGGCAGTCCGACAGACGAATCTGGGTTTGGCGGATGCCAGGAGAACGCTACCTGCCCGAATGCATAGTACCAACTGTAAAGTTTGGTGGAGGAGGAATAATGGTATGGGGCTGTTTTTCATGGTTCAGGCTAGGCCCCTTAGTTCCAGTGAAGGGAAATCTTAACACTACAGCATACAATAACATTGTAGACGATTCTGTACATCCAACTTTGTGGCAACAGTTTGGGGAAGGCCCTTTCCTGTTTCAGCATGAAAATGCCCCCGTGCACAAAGCGAGGTCCATACAGAAATGGTTTGTTGAGATCGGTGTGGAAGAACTTGACTGGCCTGCATAGAGCCCTGACCTCAACCCCATCGAACGCCTTTGGGATGAATTGGAACGCAGACTGCGAGCCAGGCCTAATCGCCCAACATCAGTGCCCGACCTCACTGATGCTATTGTGGCTGAATGGAAGGAAGTCCCAGCAGCAATGTTCCAACATCTAGTGGAAAGCCTCCCCAGAAGAGTGGAGGCTGGTATAGCAGCAAAGAGGGGACCAACTCCATATTAATGCCCATGATTTTGGAATGAGATGTTTGACGAGCAGGTGTCCACATCCTTTGGTCATGTAGTGTGTATTTGTACAATTATATATAGTATGCTGCTCTCTCTCTTTCCAGCTGATCTCTACAATCCCCCACGGAAAGCATATACAGTATTATTCCAAAGATAACAGCTAGTCTTACTGTACTGTGAAAGATGGATGTTTATAGAAACATTCTCATGGTGTGTCTCTCTCCTCTCAGCTGTTCTCAATGGTCCCCCACAACTAGCATACAGTATTATTACCAGCTAGTACTGCTGTAAGATAGCCTGATTGCCAGTTTGTTTGTGCTATCATGCCAACTCCTTGTCACTCATTGCCACACCTAACATGGAGAAATTGAGTTTGCAATAGCACAAACAGATCTGGGACCAGGCTAACTGTAAGATATATGGTTATAGAAACCTTCTCATGGTGTCTCTCTCTCCTCCAGCTGATCTCAGCCATCCCCACCCATCACCTGAAGTTCCTAAAGGAGGCTGGCCACGGCACCCATAAGGAGGATGTCCCCGAAAACGAGATGAACGAGGGGGACGATGAGATCGACCACGCTGAGATGGAGCTCCGTAGGGGACAGGTCCTCTGGTTCAGGGGCCTCAACCGCATCCAGACTCAGGTACGCACCAGTCTGGTACGCACCGGGGAGTCCTCAAATACCATCACCTGCTCTCGCCTTAGCAGGTTCCCCCATCTCTCTCTCGCTCTCTCTCTCTCTCTCTCTCTCTCTCTCTCTCTCTCTCTCTCTCTCTCTCTCTCTCTCTCTCTCTCTCTCGCTTTCTTCCAGTCCCATCCAGGGGTTTCACAGGTATACTGTAGGAGGAGAAGTCCATCTATATGGGGTTGAGAGGATTGGGTACTCCTCTCCCTCTCTCTATCCTTCCCTCCCTTCCTCTCCCCCATCTCCCCCTCCCCAGGCTTTTCAGAAAAAAGAAGAGAACAGAGGAGAAGACCTACAGAAGATCTTCAAGACCATAAGAGGAGGGATACTACCTCTTGTGAGGAGCTGTCTGTTCTCCAGGTGTAGTGGTCCTGTCAAAGAGAAGAAGAGGACATTTTTATTTTACCATGTCTGATGTGCTAACTGTTACTGGGCTTTTATTGGTATATGTGTGTTTATGTTTATACCACAGCATTGTTGAATACTCGTTTCTGATTGAACTAGAAGGGTATTCTCGAATGGACATTAAAACCAGATAACAGGACAGTTGGAAAATATATTGAGTTAATTGGAAAATGTTTCGGGACACCTTGCAATCATGACGCAATATGCACCTACACATGCTGTTCTTGCTACAGAAAGTTACAGAAAGCTAAACCAACAACTACACAAACTGAAAGTAGTTACATTGTAAACACAGGTCCAATGAGGAAAACAACTTAGCTAGCTAGCATTGATTTGTTTTTGCAGATACATATTTTTTTGGAACATCTGATGATCTAACGTGGTGAGTGATGAACATGAATTTCTCCGGTCCCCTCCGCCACTAAAGCTGTCAAATCCTCCCACATTTTTGTAGTTTGACCAGCTGTTTTCAGCAACTGACATTTATCATTTGGTTGTCATATTGGCAGGTTTGCTAGCAACTATTTAGCTAGCTTCTAGCCTAGTGTTTTATATGCAATGTGATCTCCTTGCAATTAACAGTCAAGTGTCCTGACGAGAAGGCAAACTTTTCTAGCTATGCCAGGAAAAATCTGGCATTATCAGCTTATTATTATGGATGTATCCAAATGGCAATAGAAAACAGCTATTTTGCTGTTATTCTGGCTGCAGAGGTCGTGACTGTGTTATCCGTAGCTAACTGGCTAGCTAGCAAGCAAGGGATAAGAACATTGCCAGCGAGCATGGCAACAGAATATAAAGAACGAACGACTAGGTCGCGTCCGTAAATATCTAATTAATTGAACGAACGACTGGGTCACGTCTCTAGCAACTCCATATGAATGCCCATGATTTATATATTGTATGTGTGTATACTGTGTATATATACAGTGCATTCGGAAAGTATTCAGATCCCTTGACTTTTCCACATTTTGTTATGTTACAGCCTTATTCAAAAAAAAAATAGTTTTTTTCCCCTCATCAATCTACACACAATACCCCAAAATGACAAAGCAAAAACAGGTTTTTATACATTTTTGCACATTTATAAAAAGAAAAAAAGAAACAACTGAAATATCACATTTCCATAAGTATTCAGACCCTTTACTCAGTACATTGTTGAAGCACCTTTGGCTGCGATTACAGCCTAAAAGCTTGGCACACCTGTATTTGGGGAGTTTCTCCCATTCTTCTCTGCAGATCCTCTCAAGCTCTGTCAGGTTGGATGGGGAGCGTCGGTGCACAGCTATTTTCAGGTCTCTCCAGACATGTTAGATCAGGTTCAAGTCTCGGCTCTGGCTGAGCCACTCAAGGACATTGAAAATCCTGCGTTGACTTGGCTGTGTGCTTAGGGTCGTTGTCCTGTTGGAAGGTGAACCTTCGACCCAGTCTGAGGTCCTGAGCTCTCTGTACTTTTCTCCGTTCATCTTTCCCTCGATTCTGACTAGTCTCACAGTCCCTGCCGCTAAAAAACATCCCCACAGTATGATGATGCTGCCACCACCATGCTTCACCGTAGGGAAGGTGCCAGGTTTCCTCCAGGCGTGCTTGGCATTCAGGTCAATCTTGGTAACATCAGACCAGATCATCTTGTTTCTCATGTTCAGAGTCCTTTAGGTGCCTCTTGGCAAACTCCAAGCAGGCTGTCGTGCATTTACTGAGGAGTGGCTTCCGTCTGGCCACTCTACCATAAAGGCCTGATTGGTGGAGTGCTGCAGAGATGGTTGTCCTTCTGGAAGGTTCTCCCATCTCTACAGAGGAACTCTGGAGCTCTGTCAGAGTGACCATCAGGTTCTTGGTCACCTCCCTGACCAAGGCCCTTCTCCCCCGATTGCTCAGTTTGGCCGGGCGGCCAGCTCTAAGAAGAGTCTAGGTGATTCCAAACTTCTTCCATTTAAGAATGATGGAGGCCACTGTGTTCTTGGGGACCTTCAATGCTGCAGAAATTTTTTGGTACCATTCCCCAGATCTGTGCCTCGACACAATACTGTCTTGGAGCTCTATGGACAATTCCTTCGACCTCATGGCTTGATTTTTGCTCTGACATGCACTGTCAAGTGTGGGATCTTTATATAGGTGTGTGCCTTTCCAAAGCATGTCCAATCAATTGAATTTACCACAGGTGGACTCCAATCAAGTAGTAGAAACATCTCAAGGATGATCAATGGAAACAGGATACACCTGAGCTAAATTTTGACACTCATAGCAAAGGGTCGGTATACTTATGTAAATAAGGTATTTCTGTTTTTAATAAATTTGCAAATATATCTAAAAACCTGTTCACTGTGTCGTTATGGGGTATTCTGTGTGTATATTGATGAGAATGTTTAAAAATAAGGCTGTAAGGTAACAAAATGTGG